CACTGCTTTTGTCCATCTTAGCATCCCTCAAACATTTCTCCACTGGCTCCATACACTTCCTAAACAGATCCATATTCAACTCCTCGAATCTTGCTCGGGTAATTGTTGTGTAAAAATCAATCCCCTCATACAAAGAATCAATCTCAATTGTAGTTTGAGCAGTTGAAGACAATGTCCTCTTAGCTCTCTCACAAGCTGTTCTCAACCTTCTCAAAGCCCTTGGGTTCCCACTAATGTCCTTTTTGTTCTTCCTCTTAAACTCCTGCACAAAATGATTCACCATTCTATTATCAAAATCTTCACCTCCCAAGTGGGTATCCCCAGCGGTAGCCTTCACTTCGAAAATCCCTTCTTCGATCGTCAACAGCGAGACATCAAAAGTACCCCCACCAAGGTCGAAAATTAGCACATTCTTTTCCCCAGCAGTTCCCGCCTTTTTATCAAGCCCGTACGCAATCGCTGCAGCCGTTGGCTCATTGATTATACGCATAACATTGAGACCAGAAATTACACCAGCGTCTTTCGTTGCTTGACGCTGGGAGTCATTAAAGTAAGCGGGAACCGTGACAACCGCATTCTTTATGGTGGAACCGAGATATGCCTCGGCAATTTCTTTCATCTTTGTGAGAACCATGGAGGAGATTTCTTCAGCGGCAAATTGCTTCTCCTCCCCTTTATAGGTAACGACGATCATAGGCTTGTCTCCAGGCCCAGGAACCACCTTGAATGGCCATAATTTAATGTCGCTTTGGACCGTAGGGTCGCTGAATCTTCTACCAATCAAACGCTTAGCATCTGGGGAAAAAAATAGCAACACCAATAAAATGTAAGCAAAAAATTCCCGCCTAATCATAGGTTAATAGAATAATTGAAACCCTAAAATTTAACAAATCGACAATTCAACAGTAATTAGCAATCGAACAAGTAAAATACAACCAGAAAATCCCAGCCATATTCTCGTTATTAACCAAATTTAAAATTAAAAAATTTTAGATTTCCCTCTAAAATTGAACCAAAAATGGACAAAACGAGTGAATAGAGACTTTCCCTTAAAACTAAATATGTAGTAAACGAGTAAAATTAAACGATATTTAAAGAGAAAAATTAAAGTCCCTAGAGAGCCGAGGCGTGAGGACTTACCGAAAACAGTGTTGATAGGATTCATGGCGACCTGATTCTTAGCCGCATCGCCAATCAAACGCTCGGTGTCGGTAAAAGCCACGTAAGACGGCGTCGTTCTGTTCCCCTGATCATTAGCTATTATCTCCACACGATCATGTTGCCAAACACCAACGCATGAATAAGTCGTGCCGAGATCGATCCCAATCGCCGGACCTTCGCCTTTGCCAGCCATAGCAACTCAAAACAAAGTACAAATTTTCTGCAGAAAAAGCTTTAAAACTTGAACAATTTGATAGAGAAATTTTACAGAGATTCAACTCTGATAGTCGATTTGACGATAAGAATAAAGCAGAAAAAAGTGGTCATTTATAAAGAAAGTTTGATTTCTGGAAAGTTCTGATCGTGTATTTCAGCCGTTGGATCAATAATTCTAGAAGGTTAAAGATGTTTTTTTATTTCTCCCACTCCTTTTTTGGAAGTGTGAAGGTTGTCTGGGGAGTTCCAGAGCCTTCGATTTGGAAATCGAAAAGTAACATGTGGCGCACACCCGCCTAAGACATCTTAGCCGTTTAAAAAGAAACGTGTGAAACTCTTTGGTAGTTAGGGCGGTAGGACTTTTCTGATTGGCTACCCTTATTTCTTATGCTGATTACGATTGGATTGGCTAATCCTAGTGCATAGACTGTACTTACCGTTTTACACGTACAGATGATAATGAGCTTGGTCAAGTCAAACAGTAATTTTCTAATTTTATATTTTGACGTTAACTTTTGTGATACTAGTTTTTTAAATCGGTACATACGAGATTTTTATTAAAATTTTCATAATTTTAAATTTATTTTTTAATTATTTATTTAATATATAATCATAGATTTATAAATATTAAATTACAATTAAATGATAATTTATATATAATACATTATAAATGATATTATTCATCTAAGATAAGTTTAAATTTTTGTAAATTTTTAAGAATTATAAAAATCTTTTTTTATTAAAAAATATTTTTTTCATTTATTTGTTAAATATTAAAAATTTTGCTACCACTTTTTTTTGTTTGATAAAAAATCAAGAATTAATATTTAAATAATTAAGATTAATAATTATTTTTATCATAATATTGATTGGGTGCTGTATATATATATATTTGATTAAATAATAAATTATAATTATTAATTTTGTTATAATCATTTACTTTTTATTAGTTTTTACTTTTGATATACTTAAGGTAATTATTACACAAATATATTGAGCTAACAATTATTTTTATATATGTTAAAAAAATAAAGTAATTTTTTAGATAAAAAGGGAAACAATGATTCTTTATGTTTTGCTTAAAAACTTTTTTTTGAAATTTTTTTTTATTTTTAATCATTTTTAACATAATTGATAGTATTTTTTGTGAGTTAGATACGATAGTGATCATCATTCTTTTCATATCATCAATTGTAGACAAATAAATTCAATAATAAAATGTACAGTAAAAGAAAATAGAAAATATAAATTTACATATTTATTTGTCAAAATTAAATATATACAATAATAAAAGCAAATATATTAATAAATTAACAAAAAATAAAAACATTGAATAAATGAATAAAACGAAAAAATATATAATACAAAAAGTTAATTATAATCAATCTAAGCAAAATTAAAAAAAGTTATAGATTAAAGATAATCAAATAAATTAACCAAATATATAATATAAAAATATTTGAATTATAGCATAAATAAAACATTATATTTAATTTTTAAAGTAAAAATATATTTATATCTAACTTTTTTATCAATATTCAAATGTCTCATATTTTCATATAAAAATATAAACTTTTATTACTTAAAAAATACATGATTTATAGTCAATAATTCATTAACTTATCTAAAAGTGTTAAATTTTAATAATGTATTAAATAATTTTCAAAATTTGATATATTTTGATTTGTATTTAAATAATTATCTAAAAATATTAAATTTAAATAATTATCCAAAATATTTAATTTAAATAATTTGTTAAAAAAATTTATTTGATAAATAAAATAATATAAATGTTATCCTATGTGTCATTAAAAGAGATCATCCACCTAGACATTTACATAAGTAATTTTGATCATGTAATCTTGTATGTTGTAATAATATATATATATATATATTATTATATTATATTAGATAGGTGTTTATTGGTTAGTTACTTAAATTTGAATTAATTTATTTAAAATTTAATTAATTAAATTAAATTAAATTATTGCTATTAATTAAATTAAATTTATTGATTTTAAAAATTAATCAATAAAATTTAATTTAATTTTTTCAATTAATTTTTTCATTAATTAAATAATAAGTATATTTAAATTAAATTATATTTAAAATTCTTAAATTTTTATTTTTTAAATAAAATTTTATAATAAAATATTTAAATACTAAAATATTATATTAAAAATTTTAATAAATTAAAGAATAAAATTATCTATATCATATATTTTTTATTTTTTATTTAAGTTTTATTATATTTTAACTAAAATTTGATTAATTCAATTTTTGAATTTAATTAATAAAAAATTTAAAAAAATTTAAAATTTATTTTATTAATTAATTTAGTGATCGATTTATTAATCAAATTAAATCATTTGAATTAATTCATTTAATTAAAATCGAATTTTAAATATTCATTTTAGAGTCCAACTTAGCTCGAGATTTATGCTTAGTAAATAGGCTGAAATTCGGCTCCAACATTTTTTTTAGTGGTCAATCATGTTTTTTTTTTTACCTAGTGGTCAACCATTTATTTGGTGTTTTAAGAACATTATTTTTACACAAAATAAAAAAAAAAAGGTATCCCTAAAATTCAAATAATTAGAATCGTAAAATCAATTTTTTACAAAAAAAAATATTATAATTCAATGATAAAATAAAATATTATAAGTACGAAAATTTAAATTTCATTATCTTTTTCGGATAATTTTATTTATCTTAATAAAATACATTAATATTAACGTTGAAATTTATTTTTTTTTTTGAAAAAAAATTAACTTTTTGTGTTTTTTATTATAATTTATGGCAACTATGTAAATTTGGATAAAATTTCATTACTAAAAATTGTTAAATTGATGGTAAATTCTTTTACATATTATTTGAAAATGATTCTATAAAAATTTTCTTTTAGTTGAACGAAGTTTTGAATTGGAATATAATTTTTCAAGTTAATGATATATATAAATATATATATTTATCATTAAATTAAATGTTCGAATTTAATTTTATAAGTTATTAAATTAAATTAGATTTATGTTACCACACAAAGAATCAAGTACTAACATCTGGACTTTTTAAACTTTTTTTAGAAGAGATGAAGATTCATTTAATTCACTAATAACTCGCTTTTATTTTTTTGCTCGCATGTTTTTATTCTAAACAAGTAGTTTTTTTTTTTCTTAGAACAAATTATCTTCATAGGTTTTTTTTTTTTTAAGAAAAGGAAGTACTATTCCTTCTCCATGGTCCATATTAAAATCATTTTATATGCATAAATTTTTAAATTTTAAAAATGGAATTAAAATTCATCATTTTTTTATTATATTAAGCTTTTTATTTTTTAAATATACTCTAATTCTATTGGTGAATGTAAAAATTTCATTTTTTCAAACACTATTTTAGTTTTTTTAAAAAATCAATAATTTTATGATTTATTGATAAAATTTTAAAATTTTAATTTTAATTACTAAAATTTAAATCCTGACATTTTTAATTATCAATTAAATTTTCATTTTTAGTCCGTTGGTTTTTGACATTTATAAACGGTTAGACCAGTCCAATTTCTTAAACAAGGCAATCAAACCCATGGCCATAGCCGTATATTTCCATTTTTTTCCATTCCAATTTTATGGGTTATCTGACGTGGACTAATCTTACTGGCTGAAAACATCCACCGTACGAAATGCGCGCCCAGGATCTTTTGGTGGTTCAGTTCATTTCAGGGGATCCATAAATGATAGGATAATTCAAAAGATATACACTGCCAAAACCTCATCTCCGACTCATGACTCTCTGAGAAAAGAACCATGGCGAGAACTCTGATTTCGTTACAGCCGTTCGTTGGATCTCGGCTTCCATCATCAACAATCTCTCGCCATGGTGGCCTCTACACTTTCCCTCACCGTAGACTGGCTTCCACTAGAGTCCGTCTCAGCTTCAACGAAATCCCTCCAATTCCCTCCCTCTACTCGTCCGTCGATTTCCAAGCACTTTTTACCAAAGCCGAGAGCCTTCTATACACTCTCGCGGATGCTGCTGTTGTGGCCGATCCGGCCACCGCAGCCGCCGGGTCCACCGACGCTTTTGCGCAAAAAAATGGCGGCTGGTTCGGCTTCATTTCCGAATCAATGGAATTCGTTCTCAAGGTAAAGCTTCTCTCCTACATATGAACACATAATTGATAAATCCATGAAGTAACTAACTAATCAACTGACTATTTGTTGATTTATATTGGTTTCTTAGGTGTTGAAAGACGGATTATCAGTGTTACGTGTGCCCTACGCCTATGGATTTGCGATTATATTGCTTACTATTATAGTTAAGATTGCTACATTTCCTTTGACAAAGCAGCAGGTTTGTGTTTGGTTTAACTTGAATTTAGCTTTGCTGTTGACTTTTCTTTACACAATGGTTAACTGTTAGTTGACGACGGTTGTTACGTGTTTAGGTGGAATCAACACTAGCTATGCAAAATCTTCAACCAAAAATACAAGCTATCCAACAAAGATATGCGGGCAATCAGGTAATGTTGAAGTTTGAATTTGAGTATTTATTTGTTACTATTGATTTGAATGGTTCGTTTTAATTTAATTGTTCATTTTTTGGTGTTATTTAGGAAAGAATACAACTAGAAACATCTCGCTTGTATAGGCAGGCCGGGGTTAATCCTTTGGCAGGTATCCTTTTGTTTAATCACTTGGGATTCTGTTTATTTTTCATATTCAATCAAATTTAGCTTCTTTTGGAAGTTGGTTCTTTGCTTCTTTGGCATCTTAGCTTATTAAATCTGGTGATAAAGAGTTTACGAGGGTTGATGGTGGTGTGGCAGTTGACTTGAACTTGAATTTTGGTGTTAGTGACTTAGTATTGTTTTATCAAAAACAATGAATAATGTATTAATAACACAGAGGTTTGTTGTACCATCCTTTGTTTTCAGGCCTTTTGCCTCTCTTCAGTTTCTGGAGGTCTTATTAGCTGTTACTTCCACGGGATGATGCTCATCAATAACTTATATCTTCTTATCTACAGGTTGCTTCCCTACTTTAGCCACTATTCCAGTCTGGATAGGCCTGTATCAAGCTCTTTCAAATGTGGCAAATGAGGTAATAAAAAGTGGCTGGCGTAGCATAGCATTCTGAGTGATGTGATTAAACTCTTTTACATATTAAAAACTTTCAATGCTGATTGCTGCAAACTTTTACTCAAAGGGACTGTTTACAGAAGGTTTCTTTTGGATCCCTTCTTTGGGTGGGCCAACTACAATTGCTGCTCGACAAAGTGGGTCTGGAATTTCTTGGCTTATTCCATTTGTGGTAATAAACTTACTTCTCAAACTTATGAGGTTAACTATTCTCTTTGTTGTTTTCGTAGATTTCAACATATTAGGTTACCTTGCTTATTTGTGACAATTCTCTGTTTTCTTTTTTGAAAATCTATGGAGATGTTAAAGAGACTGATTCTTGTTTTATTTATTCTAGCCTTTTTGGCATTGATATATTTCTTTGCAGCTTTGAGAGGGGAGACCACTGTTTCTGAAGATTGATAGATTAGGTTTACCTTTATAGCTTGTAGCATCTTCACCTTGGTTGCCATGGATGAAAAAAGTAATTATAATAGCTACTAAACAGTGTAAAGATATGATTTATCCGCATTTTACATAGCTGAGGTTAAATTAAGAATAGCAAATCAGAGATTTCAGATGTAGTTTTTGCTGATCAGACACAGAGACCATTTTCTGTCTTAGGTTCATATATCTAACATGGTTATCTAACATATGAGGTGTAATGCAGGATGGCCATCCACCGTTGGGTTGGCTTGACACTGCTGCATACCTTGTTTTACCTGTACTTCTTGTTGTCTCTCAATATGTTTCAATGGAGCTCATGAAACCTCCCCAGGTAATAAGAAGGGGCTTCATTACTTCCATTTCATTCCTATTTATATATTAATTTTTTAAGTGGTTTGAAGCTTTCAAATTTTCTTTTGACAGACAGATGATCCAGCCCAAAAGAACACACTTCTTGTATTCAAGTTTCTTCCACTTATGATTGGTTACTTTTCATTATCTGTTCCTTCAGGATTATCAATTTACTGGTTGGTCTCTTTTAGCAGTGTTATTGAAACCAAAAGACTTAATATATGCACTCTTGTTCTAATTTAGTTTCTACCTTTGTTACAAATCTATACTGCACGCAAGGGTTTTTGTATGGTCATCATTCTGAAGCATGACTGGAGCACTTTCATATCTTGTGCTATCATTATTTTTCTTGATGATGTTGTATGTATCATCCAAAACCTGAATTTTCTTGTATTCACTGTTGTTAATAATTTCTTTTCAGGTTGGGTGTATATACTTGGAATTTGCATATATTAGCATAATTTCCTTGGCTTGATTGCACTTGATTTCCTCTGGACTTAATTTGCAACAGAATTTGCATACATGAGAATAATTTTCTCTGCTTCATTGCATTTGGTTCTGTCTGGATTTAATTTTGCACACCAACCCCTATGTCTCCACATCTAATTTTTATCGTCATTTGTTTTTACAATGAGCAGCATAATATACATGAATTTGTATTCCTGTACATCTTTCCTCTTAAATGTAGTATAGACATGTTGCTTTTTCTTGTCTTCTAGATTAACTTGGTTTCTAGAAAACCATGACCTTTTTTTTTCCCCCTGCTAAGTGCTGGAAGGCCCAAACTTGCTGTTAAAAAAAAAAACCTTAAAAAGGAAATTAGTTTGTCTGTATGTCCAAAACTTGTTCTATCAGTCTCTGACATCTACCTTGCCATTTTCAGGTTTACGAACAACATTCTTAGCACCGCACAACAAGTGTGGTTACGCAAATTAGGTGGTGCAAAACCTATTGTTGATGAGACTGCAAGTGGAATTATTACTGCAGGACGTGCAAAACGATCGGCTGCTCAGCCAGCACAGTCCGGGGATAGGTCAGTTCCCGGCTTCTTAAAAGTTGCACATGTTTCTGCTTTTGCTTCAAATTTAGCTTGCTGAAATATAAATGGAAATTAACAGGTTCAGACAGTTAAAAGAAGAAGAGAAGAAGAAGAAGGTAAGCAAGGCTCTGCCAACAGAAGAGGTTCAGCCTCTATATCCTGCATCAGATTCTGATGTGGAATCAGATGAAGAGAAAAAGGGCAAGGTAAATTTCTAATTTTAGTTACCACAGGCTACTTAACTATTACATGGTCAAGCCTCTGAACCCGTGTTTGAAATTTCTCAAATATTTGGTTCTCATAATAATGAGAGGGGAAAATAAAATCTCTTTCTATTGAAAAAAAGAAACATGATTGTGATGGGTATGGAGCCCAATGCACAGTTGATGCTGGAAGAATATTATAACTTTCTTGAACTTGCCATATCTTTATGATCACTTTCAAGAAGATACTGATTGCATGTTTAGACTGACAGCTGTTAAACAGACTTTTCTTATGGGATCATGGATTGCAAGGTTTTATTCTTCCTTGCAAGTTGAATTGTTTGAAGTCAGTAGTGACTATAGTATTACTTTTCGCTGTCATGCATGCATCTTCTAAATTTGTCATTTAAGAGAGCAATAAAGAAGCAAATAATGACATTGAAAGCTAGCCATATTTAGGCCGAGTTGAGGTTAGTCTGCCACTGCATGTTTATGGCAGCATGATCAGGACCTCGAAGTTTTGCCTTTGTGCTGTCAATAGGTGGGTTCCACTGCTGCAAAATCCAACATTGATTGAACTATGTAGTAAAATCAAATTGTTTTTTTTTGTGCATATCATGTATGCAAGCATGGGTATGCTATTAACATGGGGAGGATTAATTGGTAGCAGGGGGGGGGGGACATTAACTGCAAACACCTTTCTTGTCTTTTGTGCATAAATTAATTTGGTTGCAGATGACTGTCAGCATTGATCATTCTCTTATTTCTAAACTTAAGAGAATAAATCCAGATTGAATTGCATATTTCAATTGTAACAATCTATACAGGTATTGGGAGCTTTGTTTTATGTCAAGAAACAAAATTTTTTAGGCTTTTAGATAAGGCTGGTGTTTTGATGTGTACGTGTGATGTTGATTTCTAATATTTCACCATTTGACATTGTGCCAACTACAGCTATTGGATTAATGCAAATCTGAAATTTAATGCCATCTCACTTAAAAATGTAATTACTAATTTGAAGTTTCCAACAGGGTGATGAGGCTCTCGAAGAAGCATATGCTTCCAGTGCAAGCAAACAGGTACCTAATATTTCTCAGCCAAGACGAAGCAAGAGATCTAAGCGGAAGCGTGCTGTATAAGAGGATTGTATACTGAATTGTTGTATTTACAGTGAGTCCTGTATATCTAAACGAATTGCATTGCTTTTAATATAGTGGCTCATTCATTTTTTGTGCTGGCTCATTCATTTTAAGATTTATTGCAAAATCATGAAAACTGTCTGATTAAAAAATCCACATCCACGCTTCAAAAGGTGCATATAATTTAAAATTTCAGTCATTACTCAGGTTAAGAAAATTTGATTCAACTATGTAACCACTAACGTGACATTCTTCTCTGATCAAATTCTAGGAATCTTGCAGTGCTTCTTTCTACAAACATGGGACGGTCTAACATAGCATTTGGGGTTTTATCTTAGCTGCAATAAGCATTGTTTTGCAGAACATTGTAACATGGAGATAGGATGCCTTCTGACTGAAGAAAACCAAACTTACCATCTGACAGCAAACTGCCCTTTACCAGGTGTAAGCCTGATCTAATTCATCTAAAACTTTAGTGGAAAATACGAGCATACAATAGTACACCAATACTTGCTTTCTGACATGAATCTTAAAAATAACATTCATTTGTGTACAAGAACAAAAGCCTGCATGAACACATCTGGCCTCCAGCACAAATCATGTTTCCTAATTCTATCTCCTATGTTGTCTGTTGTATCCACTGACTTATTGCCTGGATGGTCGGCGGTGATGTCCTGCCTGGATTGGGTCCAGATGGGGATTTATGAATCTTCTTCATTTCAACCTGCTTTTCATCATTTTATAGATGCAAGTCAATAAATTATTTATACTAGCTAAGAAAAACAGAGTACTTTTAAAACCGAAAGGGACTACTCAGTGCTTACCCAGGTAGGTAATGCATTCCTAGGTCTGAAATCGAAGTGAACTGTTGGAAGTAATAGGAAAAAAATGCATTAGAACCTACAAGAATATGCAAAGCCTGCTTCACATAGTTGTATGCAATGCATCTATTCGCAATGAAGAGAGCGAAGATTGCCTGATTCAATAGCTTGAATATTGATTTGGGAGCCCTGCAGCTGAGAAACTGCAAGCAGGAGTCATGCTAGTAGAAGATAGATTAGAACTTGCCCTCTCATCTTATGCAGGTGGTGGCATGTGCTGCATGCTTTGGTGTCTTGGAGCTGGGTGGAGGCCTGGAAGGGCTCTTACAAGCATGAAGGTGCATTTTTATGTGATACATTTGCTGCAATCATAGCCAAACTTGAAAATAGATGTAGGAATGTTTGTAAAAGGTGCTTGGCGATCCTATGCCATTATATACCGAGGGTTGACTTCTTCAATGTTATCATTTCTCAGTTGATCATTGCATCCATGATATGTATTTACAAGTTCATGCTATTGATTTTTCTTGAGTGCTTTGAGCCTACTTGTCGGCACGGCTGTCGATCAGGACCCGCCAATGCATATGCAGCTCCTGTCCTGAGTTGCTGAATGTTGTTATTGTGCAATTTTATTTCCTCTATTGCGCACTGAAAACTCTTGATGACTTAGCAAAGCAGGTAAGCTTAGCAGCCTTTAATCGTTGATTCGTGTCACTTATTGAAAAGAACACAGCCCGGTTGGAAAAAGGAAGTGTCTTCAAATTTCTCCTACTTTTTTTTTTTTTTATCAAATGCTTGTAGATTGAGTTGTTATGCAAAACTTTTATTTTTACAATAAGATTGTTTTTTAACCCAATTTCTACTTGGTTCTTAAAAGTTTATTTTCTCACGTTAATTTTAAAATTTTATTGTAAAAATATTACTTAAGAAATAATATATGATTAAAAAAAAGCGCTAAATTTTCTTTCCTCTTTTATATCGTAGAATAATTAGAAAAAAAATAATAATGTATTTGACTAAATGATAAATGACACTGTTTAAAGGCTCGGATTTGATTCTTTTCTCCTGATAAAAGAACATTAACCACCGTAGGGCCCACAATCGAAGCCGAAATCGGAACGCCTTAATCAACGTTAAGGAAAACACAATAATAACATCTTTTAAGCCGACTTCCGACCGAACTCTTACGTGGCGACATCTGATTCGCTCAAAAACTCAAGTGAAAATAAATCTGACCGTACATAATCCTCGCTCTCCCTTGCACAATTGTGAGTCCGCAAATCGGCAAATTCCTTCTATCTAATAAATTGAAACAAAAGTGTCAGCTTTTTAATTTTCATTTTTTTCCTCTCTTCAAATCACAGAGCTTTTTTAAGCTCTCTTTATCTCTGAGGGTCTCCCTTTCCGTCTATCTTTGTATTGTTTGTATGGCATCTCAAGCCAGCCTCCTCCTTCAAAAACAGCTCAAAGGTACTTCTTCTTATTGATTGATTTCAATTTCAATGATTCCGATTTCCGAATATAAATTTTTTGGGGGTTTTGGTTCGATTTTAAACCGGGTTTTAATTGATCGGTTTTGCAGATCTTTGTAAGAATCCGGTTGATGGGTTCTCAGCCGGATTGGTTGATGAGACCAATATCTTTGAATGGAGTGTTACAATTATTGGACCACCTGATACACTTTAGTAAGTTTTTTTTTTGGTAAAGTTTGTTTCTTTTATTGAAATTAATTGTTTCTTATGAACTCTTTGATGTGGATTTGTTTGATGACATTGAATCAGGAACTGAGGTTATGATTGATGCTTAATACTCCCTCCGTCCCTATTCTTTTGACCCTCTTTGATTCTTAAGCAAAGAAAGCTTTGGCTTTTATGACTTCGGCTTTTGAAATTAGATTGATTTAGCTGAATTATGATTGATGCCAGGGTTGATTTTATGGTCTTTTATTGAATTCAAAAGGAATTTTGGGTTCTAAATTGGATTAGCTTGATTGAGTTATAGGTGATAGTGAGGTTTGGAATGTTTGATTTTGAGTTTTACCTAGTCATGGTGTTGCCAATCGCCATTCACTTAGTTTTATCAAATTGGTTGCAAAGCAGTCGTAAGAAAACAAATTGTTTGTTTTCAACATTTATAGGCAATAATGGATAGGGGTTGCTGACTGCTTCTGTCATTGTAAATAATATGTCATCAAGTTTCATTATTTGGACTGGGTTTTTCTAGAATTGATTCAATCGAGCATGATAAATGGAAGCTTCTTAGCTTCTATTTGGAGGTTTCTTCGTTCTGACGAGCACAAATTGTTGTTCTTGTGCTTTTGGAATTTGTTTAAGTGGCACCAGCTTGTCAACAATAGTGCTTGTTTGCTGCTAGGATAAGTTTCTTTGCATTGTAGCTGATTTTTTTGTTATATGTATTAACTTCTTGTTGCTTATTCTCCATTTTACTGTTCTTGTTCTTGAGTAATCTGTAATCTTGACATTGAATTGGGTCCTATAGGAATTGTTTTAGTGGTTGTGGCTGTGGGAATAATTGTTTCTTAATCTCTCATTCGTGGGATATATCTTGTTAATTTTCTTTACATTAATATTCTAATTTCAGTGAAGGGGGATTTTTCAATGCCATCATGAGCTTTCCACCTAATTATCCAAACAGCCCTCCAACAGTGAAATTTACGTCAGAGATTTGGCATCCTAATGGTTATACCTTTGTTTGTTCAGATTCTTACATGCCTTTTTGTAATGCTAGAATTAATTTCATCTCTGTGTATTGCAGTTTATCCTGATGGGCGTGTTTGCATATCAATTCTTCATCCTCCGGGTGATGATCCAAACGGCTATGAGCTTGCAAGTGAGCGTTGGATGCCAGTCCATACAGTATGTTTATGTAGTGTCAATTATTTTTGAATTGTCATTTTCTTTGTGCCTGTTCAATTGCTTATAACATTCATAGTGCCTTAGATTTCAAATTTTCTCACATTTAACCACTTGATTGCAAGCAAATAATTTTCTTTTATTAGAGATAAAAAGGAAGATAGGGAAGAACTATGATATTATGATATTCCCTGGAAATCATAAGAGATACATGTAATTAGAAACCAAAATTTTATATGAATATGTGTGCTACTAGTGAATGATTTATTCATACTGAATTGAAGATTGAAGGGGGTTTTTTCACCAGTTAGTTGGATGGAATTCACCAATGTGATTAGAATATTTGATGACCATAAGTTACCTCTTAATCTTGAGGGGTAAACTAAATGAGATGGTAGAAGATTAATTGTGATTACATTGGTTTATTAGGTGATTGGAAGCTAGACAGGTAAAGCTGATTGGTGTTTTTTTTTTTTGGCCAATAAGTTGATTTGGTGTTGGATAAATGTGAATAATTCAAGAAAAACAACTTAAAGGAATGGATTATTCTTTAAAATACTGTAGGTATTAACAGTTAAGGATGAATTGAAATGAGGATGGCTTTATTTAATGGATTGATCATGTGTATGTATGGACCGCAGAAATAATAACACAAGTGGAAGGAATTAATAACAATGTGAAAGGTGAAAAAAAAAAAGGAAGGAAAGAAAACGTGGAGGTAAAATGTAAGTCGTGTAGATAGATTAAATCTGGCCTTAAACTGGATTGAAATGGAGAAAAATTCTTGTAGATGAACTTAATTGGTTTTGGATAAAGGCTTAGTTTAGTTGATGAACATTCAAAGTTTCAAGTTGTAACAGTTTAGTATCTCTTCTTACCTATTGATTTAAATTTAATATTGATCCAAAAGATTTTCTTTAATGTGATGTTAAAATATTTTGTTTTGGAAGATTTTTTGCTATCCATTTATTATGTGGAGATTTGAAGCATTTTTTTCATTAGTTTGAAATGTGCGGTCGCTCTGCTCCTCAGTACTGTTGTCCCCATGCCCCTTTTTCCTGACAATGATGGTGTATTAACAAATGTAAATTCTTACCATGTGGCAGGTTGAAAGTATTGTTTTGAGTATCATATCAATGCTTTCCAGCCCCAACGACGAATCTCCTGCAAATGTTGAAGCTGCAGTAAGTCATTTTTTATTCTTGATTCATAGATTCCTTTCTCTTTGCAACTTTGCGTTATTGATTTCTGCTGTTGTATGTAATGTACCTTTTTAATGTTTGATACACTAGTATGGTGTCTAACCTTCCGCTAAGGGCTCTAGTGTAACAAAACTTTCTTTAAAAAGCTTGTTGGATTGAACTCTTGTTAGCTATATGGTGATCAGTAATATTCTATCATAGTATTTCAGATGCGAGCCTTTTACTAAATTTAAAACTGTTGTTTGACATTGGTATCTTACTGTCGTCGACAGACCAAAGAATCAGAACCATTCTTTTCTATTCATGTTTCTTACTATCAACACATTTTGTTGATATTGGCAGAAGGAATGGAGAGAGAGGAGAGATGAATTCAAAAGAAAGGTCAGCCGCTGCGTCAGACGGTCACAAGAAATGTTATGATCTGTTGCTGGCGCTTCATCTCTGCATGTGCACTCCAGGAATGCCTTAATTTATTGTGTGGGGAGATGTGGTTGATACACCGCAGTGTCCTTGTAGAATGCCAGCCGAAGTTCTCACACTTCACCTCTTTTTTTACTTATTTTCCTTTCTTGTGGTTGGAGTAATTAATTATATTAACTCTCAAACGTTTTTCTTTTTTCCTGTATTCAAAAGCGTTTTGGTTAGTGTTTGTTCTCAAGCGTTCCTGTTTGAGTCGGGCATTTGTCAGGTGTCTCTTCTTTGGATGGACGATTTGTCTTTTGCTAGATGCTTTAATCCATCTTGTTAGTGCGTTTTTACCATCTATTTTTGGATCAAAACACTCTTAAGAGTCTTTTATTCATTTATTCTGCCCGCAAAATCTCTCTGCTAGAGACACAAAGGATTAGAATTGATGGTTTAGATTATATGCTTCTAAATTTCATAAATATGTAATATTATTTTTCTTCTGTAGAGCAGGGCATTACCCTTCAGAGTAGGGGTAAAAAATTTTGAGTAGATCAAAAATCGATTTTAAATTGTAGTGATCGGTTTGAAAAAGTTTTAGATTGGAATGTAAAAAATTAAAAAAAAATAAATTGAATTATATATTTTTATTAGTTTTATATATGTTTTAAATTTTATAAAATAAAAATAATTATTTTATATAATTTATTTAAATATATTAAAAATTATATAAAAATAATATATAAAAAATAAAAAATTTCAATTCAAATCAATTTTAAGGGAAGATAGTTTAATATTAGAATTAAATTTAAAAATTTATAATATTATACATTATTTTAAAAAAATTGAATCAAATTTAATTCAATTTCAACCATTATCAACTTTACTTGAAAAAGGAAAAGATTATGACTTGAATATAACAAGTTTAATGACGCAATAAAAGAAACTTGTTTATGCAATATGCCATATAAAAAGTTTTATAATAAATGTCATATCTTTTAAAATTTAATTAAAATATTTTAATGAAAAATTATTTCCTAACTAACTATGTTTTAAAGCAAATTCTCATTCTTAATTTATAAAAAAAAAAAAGAAAAAGAAATTACTCCATAATAAAATGACAAAAAGGAGATAGTCAAAGATTTTGGGCACGTGACAAGCATGGGATCTTTTTTTAGCGCTACTATTTAGTACTAACGTTGTCAAAGTTAGCTGTTAAACTAATGAACCGCTCTTTTTAGGACTACCAAATCTTTCCTTTGATAACTATCGTACACGTGTCACTGCACTGTATATGTACGTTGGCCTACTAATCACGTGCTGGGCCCCGTCTTCCACTCCCGCCTTCGTCTCCATTCTCATCTTTCTTCCCTCAATCGCGATCGACGACCATAACAATAAATTAAAAAAAAAACACTAGCGACAAAAAAACACGACCGAAAAGTTTCATGTTCAAATTTGTCGGAAAAAGACCAGAGAAAGTGCCTGTCCAAATTTTCCAAGCTCCAAATCTACCAAAAAAAAAAAAAACAAAACGAAAGTTTATGTAAATTTTCAGGTAGGATTTCTTTTTTTTTTCTTTAACTATATGTAATTTCTAAGCCTTTTTTTTTTTTTTGATAAATATCTGATTTCAAATTCTATCTGTTTGCAGGTTGATTTTTTGTTAGTATAAAATTCAGTGAGATTTGAAGAGCATGAGCTTACTCGTTTAATTTCGATCGGATTTATTGCCTTAATAATTGAGAATGTGAAAATTTCATAGGTTTCTCAATTTTGTTTACTTTTATGGAAGAGAAAAAAAGTTATAAAGGAAATTTAGTAGTTTCGAGCCCTAAAGAATTGGCTAAGAGTAGTTTCAGACACATAACTCCCATTAGGAATCGTAGAGATGTTAAGGATGTAGCAGGTCATGCATCAATCTTTTTACTCGAAGTTGCTGCATTAGAAACAGTTAGAAGGGTTTCAAAGGCTAAGTGCCCCTTTTTATGGCGCGGTATTCAGGCTCTGCAAGTTATATGCTATCCGCCCCTTAACTGTATTCAGAAATGGGCTCCTTTTAAGGGTTTGGTTAAAGGAATGCAGGTTCGTGAAAATTGCATTTTTAGTTAATTGTTAGGCTGAATTGTTTATGATAAAGGGTCGTTTTTTGTTATGTTTATTAAATTTTCCAGATGTTGTCGATGCCACTATTGGTGCTTTCAGTCGCGACAGCATTTTCTGATCAAGAAGAGTTCAATGGTGCAGCTTTGGATGGTAGAGCTTCTCCAGAGTATCCAGAATCACATTCTGAGGAACCCTCTGTGCAGTCTGCCTTGGATGTAAGGTACATCAAGCAATTAAGTGCATGAGGTTAAGCAGTTGGCATTTTATGGTTGTCTTGGTGTGTCAATTTTCAATGGAAATGAAATTTGCTCCACTGCAAGTCTGCAATCAAAGATTGGAAATGGAGCTTGACTAATCTTAATAAAAGATGTCTATTCATAATCTGATCTCAAGAGCTTTGTTTGACTTTGTAATAAACTGATGCTGCAGGGTGAGAAGTAGTTGGATTAGATTGAAAGTAAAAGTGAACTTTAAATAAGGAATCACTCTATCTGGCCTATACATAAATCATGAAAATTCCCCAACCGTAAAGAATTAGTAACTATATATTCTGCCATTGATTGGTTCTGAAGTGCTGATTCAATCCGGATCTATCCATGTCAATTCTGATGGATTTTTCTGCTCATGGGACAGTCTTTCTTATTTGCATATATTCTAATAGTTCCAAATAGAATCGATTATTTATTAGTTTGAATATGATTTGGCCTGGCGCCTCTCTTAAATATTCTAGGTTTGCATGTTTCAAGCAATTTGATAGTCGAGTTGACTAGAAAGTGACAACTTTACATGAATATATCTATTACTCTTTCTATTAGGACCTTGAGGATGTCTTCCATAATGAGCTATGTTTACTAACCACTTCAACATTTCTGTGTAAACTGCTGAATAGTAATGAAGCTTCCCAAAATCTAGAGTGCGAAAGCTGGTTGGTTCAACTCCACAAAGAGCTGGAATATCAAGGAATTAGTTTACCAGAGAGGTGATTAGATGATTGCCATTCATGAATGCATATATGGTATTTGTTTTGTCAAAAAGAAATGCACCATACCACATTTTTCCTTTTAAATGATCTTACCGAAAAAATCGGCCAATCATTCTACTATCATTCATGCATTCAATTTACAGCAGCCTATTTTGAATCGAGTTATAAACTTCATCTCAAGTTGCTTGCCTTTCTGCTTCTATTCGTTGAAGCTTTAATAAACAAAATAAGTATACTCTGTGGAGAATCTAATAATTGATGATGAACCTTAGCGTTTTTTCATCTGTCTCAAATGTCAGCCTTTCTCTCTGGAAGTTTCAACTGTAAACTTTCAAGGGTGGCATCCAACTCTGTTTTTTGGGGGGGATTTATTTGTGTTTTTGGCATATACATTTTCATTTTTGATTGCTTGGTTTTTCTCTTGCAGCAAACCATGACATAGTAGTGTTTATGCAGAATCAATGATGAAGATCTCCGTAGATTTTATACAGTTGCAAATGGTGACTTTTTAGTTTTGCTATCATCAATTAAAAAGACAATCAGATGGAGGGAGACATATAGAATTCTTTCTCAAGAAGAGCTTGAGACATGGGCAAACATGGTATTTTGGCATGGATATGATGTCATGGACCGACCTTGCCTCATAGTGCGGCTTGGGCTAGCTTGCTCCAGCTTGCCATCTCATGACAGACCTCTATTTGCTCGGGCAGTCAGTATGTCTTTAGTCCCTGTGATAGTACTGCTTAGCTTTTCATTTTGCTACTATTTGAAATTTGATGAGACTTTCTCTGTATTGCCTTCAAATCTTTAGTTCCTTTGTTTAATATGAATTGGAATGAGAGTTGATGGGGAAAGTTACTTTTAAAGAATTCTTTTCCATCCAAAATAGCCACCTAGAGTATCCAACATAGACATCAATGAAGTCTTCTGATCAGCATTATCTTTGTCCTGTACCATTTCCAGTTTCTACCAAGCTGGGTTCTTTTTCAAACCCTCAAAAGTGCTTTCTTACGTTTTGGTTTGCCAAGTGACTTCTTCATATAATATCAACACTCAACGATTAACATTTTTTATCCAAAAGGATCTATTTTCCTGAACCGGTATTTTATCTATGGAATTCAATTTATTTTCAGTGGGAAAAGTATGCCAGCATATAAAATCATTGTCTTTCTTTCTATTAATTTGTCTTTTTAGTTGCTTTTGTGTATGATGTTATGATAAAGACAAATGGTTGCTGCTGCAGTATCTCAAGTAGAGCATGGAGTTATGCATTTAGTTGGTCCAGAAAATCCTGAAGTTACAGTTTTAGTAGACTGTGAAGGATTATCTCCTTTCAGAATTCCGATGCAAATAATGAGATCCTGTTCTTCCCTCTTGCAAGACCACTACCCCAACCGTCTTGGCTGTTTGTTTGTTATACGGCTTCCTCCAGTTGTTCGTGTCATTGCTCAGACTTTTATTCAGGTTAATTGTACTTCTCTGACTAAAATATGAATGTGTTATCTCTTTGGTTTTCTTTTTTTTCCCCTTTTTTTAGCTTCAAACATGATAAGGGTTTAGTTCTCTCTTTCTGTCTCTGTTGTGTATAACCACAGAGCTGTGGCTTTTCTCAGGTTTTGAAACCAGTTACTAGGAAGAAGTTAAAAATTCGAGGAGAAATGGACCACAAGGTTCTCTTGGAGAATCTTCAGGCATTCCCATCATATCTTGGTGGAGATTGCAGGTGCACAAAATGTTTAACTATTGGTGTTCATGATGTGAAGCATCCACGCACAGACCATATCAACAAGAAACGGGCAAATGATGGTGTTACCAATAGTGAGGATATACCCTCACCCAATGTAATTTGTCAGGATGATATTGACCAGAGTGGGAGCTGTGACCAGGTATTGAGAACTGCCGTAATAGGCCTGCTCATGTTGTGGGTTCTTATAGCTTTCATTGCAGGATTATATGATCCTGAAAACCGTCTCTTTCATTCTCAATAAGATGAAAGTGGCGCCTTTTATTGCAGTCCATCAAGCTCTTTCTTGTTCAAGGCTGTGTATTTTAATATTGTTTGAGCATGTCCATTGTCCCCATTGTGTTTAAATTTTATCTTCTGAAATTTGATGCTGTATTAGCATAACTAAATTCTAGTGATAGTTGAGCTAATTATATTCAACTCTGTATTGTTGTCCATATCAAAAAATTTTGCGTAAGTTAATATCGTATTCTATCAATATCAATTCTCTCTACCATAATATGGTTACTGAATTTTATGGTATCTTTTGCTATAATATGTTGACAATAGCATGGGAACAATTTAGCGGCAACCAAGTAACAATGCTGACAAACATTAAATAGTACTAAAGAATTTGCCTGCAGGTTAAAAACTATAAAGCATTAAAGCTGGTACAGAAGCAATAGGATTAGACATGAAGGCTTTGTCTCTTTGTAATGATGCTGCTCATATATATGCAACAAAGTACTGTATACAAACAGATTTTCATGGTGATGGCCAGTGGGTTACACATCCTGTGGCTATTTTGTTCTATGCATCGTCTCTAGGAGTCTTCCCCACTAGCAGGTGTCTTCAGAATTCCATTTATTTTTGTATGAATGCCTCAGCAAGAGAATAATAGATTGTTTTAAGAGATTCATCGATGACCGGATAATTAAAAATGTGAAGAATGTTGTAGATGCCATGGTATGATACAAATTAATTGTTGAAGGCAATTTTTTTTTCTTGTAATTCAGATTTCAGAGCCTAATTTCTATCTGTTATTGGAAGCTGTTTGCATTTGAATCTTGTTTAAACAGATTTGCATTATAGAATTAAGCATATATATCATGTTGTTGGCAGCATTATATCACAACAGGATCAAAGGAACTATTAGAAATTTTACCAACTAGATTCAACACAGTTTAGACTGAATATAACATCATAGTTTGTTGATCTTCTATGGGATTTTGCAGCACTTTGGAACTTTTCTTTGCTATGGTTTAATGACTGCTGAGAAGGTTACTATGAAAAAGACCTCCAAAACTCTCTGGCCTTTTTGAAATGTCTTGGTACTATATATTTGTTTGATGGTTGAGTAGTGTGCCAACCATTCTGCTCAAATTTCTCATGCTGCTATGGCCTGTATTTAGTCATTTTATTCGGTAAGATCAGACTTTTCCAAGGCATACTTTTAGAAACATAGGTGTAAATAATAGAGTTTTTAACGAATAGGTTGTAAATATCTTTTATTTTTGTTCATTTATGTTAGTTTATTAGGCGTATCAAATGATGTTGAATAATATTTTTATGTTTGTTAATCGAACATAAGTAAAGGTTTGATTCATTTATATTCGCGAATAAATTTATTAAATTTTGTTTAAAATTCATTCGTTTATTATTGATTTATGATAATAGTAATAAAATTACTTTTGTATTTTTTACTTTAATCTTATTTTAATGTTTGTTTATATTTGTTTATATTTAAAGTTGGTTTGTTTAAATTTATTTGATTATGATTTATTTATTATTGTGAATATGTTTATTTATATATTTTTGTAAATATGTTGTTTAATAATTATGAATAAATTTATTTAACTTAATGAAATTGAATACAAACTAAATATAAATATTTTACTATTTAAATGAATAAAAAATTATTTTATCAAACGCGAAACTAATTCAAACATCTCAAAAAATAAACGAATTAATTACAAATATATATTTATTTGTCATGTTCTATTTGTTTATTGTCCTAGCTACTGATGGCGCTAAAATGCGTAGTGGAAGAAATTTTTCAGTTTGGGTGGCTGCTGAATTGGAAACAAGCCGAGAACGCAATAAAAGCCATTATGTAAATTGAAATGCTTTCAAATCAATTTGGAACCATCCCGACCTTATCAAATTGAGCAACATTCAAAAATTTTCAAAAGTAAGAAAGAAACGGCTCAAAATTTTGCTTCATTAAAAAAAAAATGTAGTTTGCTACTGCCCTTGAAATTGAAACTTTTTTTTTTTTGCATGCGACCCCTCGTTTTTTTGACCTTTGGGATTTCTAATAGATAGGAAGGACAAGACAAACAAGTGACGTGGGCGACAGAAGGGGTTTGATAGATTCCCATATTTAGCATCACAAATTCAGAAAATGTAGCAACACCTGCTTTTTGGAAAGGAAAATGCTACCAAACTCATTCCATTTGTTTTGGCTCTTTCTTTTTCAGCTTCACCAGCTTTTGCTTGAAGATTCATGGTAGTTAGATTACAAGCTTATTATATCTTAACATTACTATTGATTTTAATGAGTATATTAAACCAAAAGTTGTTGTACATGACGATGAATCCCATCCAATATTATAAATAATCAATTTAGATACTCATTGAAGGTGTTATTCACTCATGCCAATTTACCCTTTCAGAACCTTCATGGTAGTGATAAAGAAATATATCTGATATAGTAATTCTTGCATGGTAATGGGGGTTGGTGACTCACAAAGTAAACGATCAAGTATATAAATTTTGGTGACTGGTGCTTGGTGCGGTTGTGGGGAGCTCGAAACTGTTGAGTTGTGACAGAAAAAGGAATTGCTGTGACACTAATGGTCTTATTGTTGTAAATGATTTATGGGATTGGAGTGGCCTAGTGGGTTGGTGCGAGACAATCTAACCAATCAAGCAGTTCTAACAATTACCCACCACTTCATAGTGCTGTTGCCTGTTTGATGAAAATCGTTCGGGCCACGGTGCCTTGATAAAGACAGACCAGGCTCGACTCTACCACAATCCCTTCTCCATATGTCTTTCTGATATTATTGCCTTCTTGTTCATTTTGGCATATGTTGTTGGAAAAGTATCATCTGGAAAGAAGATAACAGTTACAGGCTTACAGGGTACTTCGATTTTGGTCCCTTGTTACCATATATAGTTTTAACTGTCAACGAAGAAGAAAACGAATCAGAGAATGACCTTTGATGTTGAAGGAGAGGACTAAAGCTAATTTGGAGAATTCTCTTGATTAGAAACGGAGAAACGAGTATTAATGTATACCACTGTTTGGTGTTAAAATTAACTTTAATAAACCATCATTGTATAGATTTTATACATTGTTAGTGAATCATATGATTTCATCTTTCTTCTTTGGAAGCTGTTTTATTTTATACTAGTTAGGAAGGGAGAAAGGGCGTCACTTATGAAAGAACCATATTATCACAATCAATGAAAGCGAGACAACAACACTACACTAAACAGGCAATGAAAAGTATAGACATCCCAGTTTCCCTGCATTTTTGCTGCAGGAAAATGACAGACGACCAAAGTCCAAAACTAATATCAATACCAGACAGGCAGGTGCTATACTTCTTGAACACAGCTTGATCCACCCACTCAGATCATCTTCCAATATCTCTATCTTATTTTGTTCAAAATAACAAGTTACAGATAAACTTCTCTGGTCTTCAGTGACATCATGCTCTACGATAAACCCTAAATACAACTGGAAAATCACTAAATTAATTTTCACTCAAAATCTGTTTCTATTGTTATGCAGTTAATTAAATTCAAAAATATCTTTCGGATACTAAATATATCTATGAATATATATATATATATATATATTCATAGATATGACTATACATGTATGAAACCATTTCAGATATATGTGCCAGTCATAATTATCAATGTCATTATTTGTAATGAAATTTTTACGTGTGTAAAATACCTGTATTTATTTTTATACACGTATTTATCATATAAAAATGCGAATAAATTTCCGTACAATTACAATATTATATTATGATGTTTGGGAACTAATTTTTCTAGTATAGAAGAGACAAAGGTACATAACATTCTTACATCGGATCCCACCATCCATGGTGGCAGAAAGGGGCTGCTACTTATTCCCAATAAATTAAAACCTTTAAAACTTTGATGGATATGTTCTTTTTCTTAATTTAATCAATAACTGAATTAAATTATCCTCGTTTGATTTTTATAAAAAAGGGTAATTTAGGGTGAGGGAATGGAAATAGTATATGTACGAAGAGGTGAGCACCTTTGCTTTAAGTAACTTCAGCACTAATGTCAATTTGATAAGAGGATTCAGCAATGCCCCACTTGACCCTTCCTCGTCTTAAAAGGACCACAAATTTGAGAAATTCAGCGACTCGAATAAGGTCAGTGGAAATCCAGCTAGAGAAACCCAACTTTAACTTTATTATTATTATTATTATTATTATTATATATTGGATCTAGGCCCAAATCAATTGGACCTGATTCAAATAGATAAGGTCCAATTCAATTTTTATCCTGTATTATTTTTTTTATATTTTATGTATTTTATTATTTATTATTATTATGTATTAATATATGTATATCTGTATTTATTTATTTTTTATTTAGAATAGATTTATATGTATTTTATTTATATAGTTATATATTTATTATTATATATTATTTTTTTTGTAATATATTTTTGGGTTTATCTTATTTTATTTTTTATTTTTTTTAAATTATCTGTTAATTTTATCTGATTTTTTTCTCGATTATCTGATTAGTATCATTATTTTTTTTTTTTATGGCTGTGATTGAAAGTTGAAGAATCCCATTGTGAATGGGAATTCAATCAGAAGAGTTCAGATTGGATTCAAAAATTGAATTCCCGTCCAGGGAGGAATTGGGATTGATCAGGAACTCCTGATCAATCCCTATAAAAGGGACTTCCTGGAACAGATGTAAGACACAGAACAAACAATGAGCAAAGCTACTGATTTGAGAGAAAATGAGGCGTATAGGAAGCTGAGAAAAGGTTTAGGAGTGTTCGGAGAGTTAGCAGAATTTTTTTGAGAATTTTTTACGATTTTTTTTTCTGGGAATTTCTGAAAAATTCCAGATTTTGGTGAATTTTTCGACGAAAATTTCGGCCAACATTGAAGTTTCCAGTGACCTACCCAGTTTTCGACGAAGATTTCCAAAAACCGGTGACCTTCCGGCTAACTTCTGGTGAACTTCCGGCGACAAAACCCAGAATCCGGTGAATCTTGAACCGGAGTTCTTCGGCCTTTTAGAGAGAAGAGAGAGGAAAAAGGAAGAAAATAAAGAGAGAGGAGAGGAGCGTTCTGTCGAAAAACAGAGGGAAGTGCCTTTTATACCCTCTCAAAACGACGTCGTTTTGGCCTTAAGTGACCCAGAGGATCCGCGCGTTTTGCCGTGACCCGACCCGACCCGAGCGTCGACCCGCTTCCTGACCCGCGCGTGCCTACCCCCTCCAAGCCGACCTAGCCGAGCCGAGCTCCAAGCCGCCCCCCTGAGCCGTTTCTCTTCCTTGAGCCGAGCCGAACCGCTCCAGGTTTTTTTTTTTTTCAGAATTTCTTTATTTATTTGTTTTATTTATTTATTTATTAGATTAGATTTATTTAATTTTTTTTTATCTTTATCTTATTTTTATTTTTGTTTTACTTTTCTTTATTTTTTTTATTTTCACTTTTATTCTGTTCTATTTTCTTTAAATAAAAAAATAAAAAAAATATTTTTGGGGAAAAGTTGAAAGTATCAATTTTCCTTAAAAATAAATTTTCAAAAAAAAAAAGATTTTTGAGAAAAAGTTGAAAGTATCAATTTTCCTTGGAAATCAAAGTTTTGAAAAAAAATATTTTTGAGGAAAAGTTGAAAGTATCAATTTTCCTTGGAAATCAAAGTTTCAAAAAAAAAAAATTTTGAGGGAAAAGTTAAAAGTATCAATTTTCCTTAAAATAAATTTTCAAAAAATATTTTTTGGGGAAAAGTTGAAAGTATCAATTTTTTTTAAAAATAAATTTTCAAAAAATATTTTTGTGGAAAAGTTGAAAGTATCAATTTTCCCTATACAAGAATAATCATCCTTTCCTTCCTTTTTATTTTGATTTTGATTTTGATTTTTCTTTAAATAATCCGACGACGGAGCCTCTGCAAGTGAAACAGTAGTTTTTCTTGCATACTCTTAAGGTAAGGGAATTTTTTCAATTTTCGACTAAAAGTATTAGAGTCAATTGAGAAAAATTTTCAATAATTAATTACTTGGTAAAATTTTAAGGCTTTTGGATAACACAAATTTAAGCTGGTACCATCTTTTGATGGGTGTTGTGAGGGTGTTATAACCTTCCTCACACGTAATTGAACTCCCGAACCCTGTTCTGATTAGTAGACCTGAACTTATTCTTTTAGAGGTCCTTAAACTTAGGCGTTCCCTAAAAGGACAGATTCTTTAGGTGGCCAATCGCACATAGATAAAAAGATTGGTGGCGACTCCCTAAAAGTCAATGTCTAGCGATAGATCCCCGAATCTATACGTTATGACAATATAACTAATCAATAATATAATTATTTATTTCCAGTACTTCTTATAATGTTTTTATTTTCTTGGTATTTTTTATTAGGTTTCTTGAATTTTTTTTAAATCTTTTTTTTCATGTGTTTGAGATAAGTTAGTGTTAGTGTCGAGTTTCGAATTAAGGGTCAGAATCTTAAAATCACAAAGAGAAAAAGAGTGATTAAGAGTAAAATTAAGGGGTATTTTTTATGTTTGCACTAACGTTCAAATCAAAAGTCGAAATAAAAAAAGTCAAAGGAAAAAAAAAAGAAAATTAAAAAAAAATAGATTAAATGGATAACATTTGGATGGTTTTATTTATGGATGGAAGTTGAGGGATTTGTGAGGTAGGATAGTAATCTGATCAAATTAACATAATATTTTACATGTCAGGTTGATCTTACATGTCAAATCAATTTAAATGTTAAAAATACCTCTGATACTGATAGTTTCTAATAAGATAAAAGACTAATTTATTTTCTAAACTCAAAAATACCCAACCACGACAACTTTTGTTAAAGTTGTTTTGCTGTAACTAGAAATGTAAGGTTTTGAATCTAGCTAATTAATAATTAGGGTTGAACAAATGTTCAGTTGTAAAAATCATAAAAATAATTTAATTGATTTAATTTTAAGATAAAATCAAACTGATCGAAATATATCCCAAAATAAAAAAAATCAAACTGATTTAATCCATTCGGTCTCAATCAAGTTTTTTAATTTAATCGGTTTTGATATACTATTTATTATTTTATCAATTGCCTTGATGCAAAGAAAATTGATAACAATGGAGGATAATGATGATATCCCAAGTGCTACAGACATGCACAAGAAGAATAGTTTCCGAAGAGAAGAAAAGCTTTCCCTTTTTTAAGTCATCATGATCTGCATAATTGATTATTATTGATTATCCATTATATATCCAACGCAGCTTACGAATGTTGTTTCCTTATCTCATGCGGATCATATAGCCATGATTTGCTCAAATCAAAGTATCAAACCAATTTGTTTTAATAATATCTAATTGATCCGGTTGATATAATCCCAATCTACTCGTGCTTGAGGAAAATAGAAAACAAATAAAAAAAAGGTAATTCAGAAAATCTGCTTTGATCATTTTTAGAATTCGCATAGAAACCAACGATGGACATACAAACTAATTAACATGATGAGTTTTTTCATGGTTGTAACCGGAAGATCAAGAAATAGATTACATGGGATAAAAATTTAAAATTTAAATTTATTAAATATTATTTTTTAAAATAATTATATGAATTGATTGAATTAAAATTTAAATTTCAATACAGCTTTAATTATTATTCACGAGTATGATTTCCATAAATCATTCATAGATAAATCCCATAAATATAAATAATAGTAATGAATCTATTAAAAAAAGTAACAAATAGAGAATGATTAATGAAAAGAGCTCAACCCTTTAAAAATAATGAAAATGAGTAAGAAAGGAAAAATTATTAATACAATGGTTAGATTTCATAACATATTTAAGTTTTATAATCAAAAGTGATTATGAAACCTAATTATCATATTAACAATTTTCTTCATCCTTAATCCTTTTCATTTTCAAACAATTTTAGTAATATTTTGTTAGTTCCAACTTGAACAGAGCCATCGTCTTTGTATACAAGATGATTTTGTCCACAACTTAAACTATAATTAAACTTTATTTGGATTGATAGTAAGATTAATTTTGGTGAAATTAAAAACAATAATAAAAGTGACTATTACTACGATTAAAAAAAAATCAATAATAAATTTATTTTAAATGAATTTCATTGAAATTAATATTTAAATTTAATTAATAATGCGACAAAATCAATCACATCATATTGAAAGTACGATGAAATCCAAACTTAACCTTAGAGTTTAATATAACAATTGTTAAGTATTTCAAGGAAAAATTAAGGTTCAAATATTGAAATTCACTTTCATTTTTTTTTTTAATATTCTAAGCCATATAAATATACTCGGGATAGCCAATTTGCTGCTTTAATCACATTGGAATTTTTCCTATATAAACATATAAGTAAGGTTGAAGATGAGTTTGAGAAGCCTTACAAATTGTCTATCCCTTCAACTTGTGGGTTGGTATATATGTTAGAATTTTAATTTCCTTATTTGTGGGCTTCCACCACTTTATAAGCTAAAGTCTCTGTGTTGCTATAGCAAGTATGTAATTTTTAAAAAAATAAATATGGAAAAAAGTTTTTTGAAATTAATTTGTAATAATCTATAAGCTCGAATTTGTTTAAATTAATTTTTTATGTATAATTTGTGAATTTTTTTAAATAAAAAAATTAAATTATAATTTAAATATAAATTTAAATCAATATATTAAAATGTCACAAAATTTTAAAAAATAAAATTTGATATATTTTTTAAAAATATAAAATTTTAATAATTAATAAATACTAATCAAATTTAAATTATAAATAATATTTTCAATAATTCTTTTACATATTATTGATTATACCATTAAACTATATTAATCTAGTAATTTAGATTTTTATTAAATTATTGTAATAAATATTTCACCAACTTCATATAAAATATTTATTCTAAGTATTGTTCGATTAAAATTTACTTAAAATCTGCAATTGCCAAAGTTTCCTTCATAATTTCCCGACCATATATTCTCTTTGAAAATCCCAGCATTATTTATTACAAAATCTTGCGATTCAACTTTTAAATGGCTCTATCAAGCATTAAGCACACGTGGGCCCCAAATTGCCGTCCACGTGGCCCAATTTCCACATGTAAATCTCCTCTCTTTACAAAAACCCCCTGTCGAACACCTGCTCTCAAACCCCACCGTACCAAAGCCTCGTTCGCTCAAACAAAGAAGAAAATCCTAAGCTTTCTTGTTTCTTCTTTGTCTTTCATTCCCTCCAACTTCTCACAATGCCAACTGCACCCCAGCAACCGAACCGAGCCAGAGTCGTGTGGCGCACCTGCCTAGCCTCCTCCTTCCGCACCGCCCTAGCATGCACCATAGTAGGAGCCATCACCTTGTACGGACCAGCTACCCTCCAACGCCAAGTAGCATTCCCAGCATTTTCCTACGTGACTGCCATCCTTGTCGTGACAGACTCCACGTTGGGTGACACGCTACATGGTTGCTGGCTGGCGCTCTACGCTTCCGTCCAGAGCCTGGGACCTGCCATGTTGAGCCTATGGTTGATAGGACCAGACAAACTTACGAACGGAACCACCGCTCTTGCGGTGGCTTTAGGAGGGCTGATAGTGGTGTTGCCCGAGTCGACTCACTTGACAGCCAAGCGAATAGCGTTGGGCCAAATTGTTATAGTTTACGTTGTCGGTTTCATTAATGGTGAGCAAACCGAGCCGATTATGCATCCGGTGCATGTGGCGGCTAGCACTGCGGTTGGGGTGTTGGCAAGCGTTTTGGCCTTATTGCTTCCCTACCCAAGTTTGGCTTGTTGCGAGGTTAGTGAACAAAAACATCTTCGATTCTTAGTATCATTTCTATCTCTCTCTAATCCTTTGCATCTAAGACAAGACAACGACTTTAACATAAGCTTAGAAGACTGAATAATACAGATCAAAAGAATCTGATAGGATTTATCATATTTCACTACGTAGTTTTAAGTTTTTTAGGACGTTTTATTAATGTTTTTTTTTTATGGTAGGTATCTTTTGTATCTTAGGCGACGAACAAAAATTATAGTAAAAGACTTTCATTTTTAAATTAAAAAAATCAGATGTATAAATCTAAATTATAAAGTTTTTTAATCGGATGTATTGGAAATTTTCCTAAAGAATTAGGTTTTTTTTAGCATAAGTTTGGATGATTGCAAAAGATAGAAGACAGAATCAGGTAAGGATTTAGTACATTAATGCCGTAGCCAAAGTAAATCCTAAAATCCATTACAAAGTCTTGAAATAATGACAGCAGCGCTCCATTTGCTGACATCTTGGAAGTCAATGGTGGCCACTAGGCACAAGTACTATGTAACTATTTTTCTTGTCTTTTCTACTTTTAATTTTTTAATACCATTATACTCCTTATCCCATTTTTTTATATATTTTTTGGATATTCTAAAATTATGTTTTTTTTTTACATCTAAATTTTTTATTTTTTATATTTTAAAATTATTTTTAGGATTATTTATTTTTTGATATTAAAAATAACGAAACATTAATTTTATTAAAGAAATTAATTTAATATTAAATATATTAAAATCAATTTTTTTTTAAATTTTATAAAAATCAATACGACTCAAAAACAATTTAAATCGAAAAGAGTTTTCATATACAATAAATATATAGTTATATTAACTAATAGTGAATTATATGATATTAAAAAAATTTTATTTAAATTTTTATGTATTTATTTTAAGAGTTTATAAAAAGTTATATTTGTCATATGATTTACTACCAACATATAAAATCTATAAATTGATGGTGAATTAAATATAAATTTATTTTTAATTAAAAAATTCCTCTTCATTTTTTTTTGTTAATGCGAACTAAAAAAAAAAAAAAGTCTGACTAGCCAGTGTATTGATTTTGAGAGAATTAATTTCGTCGTTATGTTTATAAAGGCGAAGAAAAACTGCAAGCTTCTGGCGGAGAACAGTTCAGAGAGGCTAAAGTTTTTCGTGAAGGCACTTTGCGCTGAAGACAAAGCAGCGGCATCTGCTTCCATTTCCCAAGCTAAGCTTTTGAGCGCAGATGCAACCAAACTTCTTCAAAGTATTAAACGCTTCCAAGTAAGACCCGTCTGTATAATTTTGACATTACAGCCGTTTGGATAGGCTTTCTGTTTTCTTTTCTTTTTCGTTTTTTATTGACTGTCGAATATATTTAATGTGGATGAAGCGAAGTTACTCATTTTCTTTTGTTTTTTTGAATAGGGAAGCGTGAAATGGGAGAAACTTCCTTTCAAGTTTTTGAGACCCTATTACATGAACTCAGGGGAGAAATTGCAAGATATAGAGATGGCTTTAAGAGGAATGGAAATTGCTTTGGAGAGTACTCATTCATTTCCGGGGAGATTAATGTTGGATGGAGATATCAAAGAAGGCCTGCTTAGGCTGGGAGACCACATTAGCTCAACCATAAAACAGGCTAAGAGTTTCTTGCCTGGTGATTCCTTAACTGTTCCAGAATCAAATGCTGAAGACATTCTGAAGTTCCTCCAAACGCTTCAGAAAATCCCACCAACCCACCAGGATTTACCCTCTTTTTTCTTCTTATTTTGTATGAAACTCCTTCATAGTAAGCCGTTACCGAAACCAACGACTAAAAATCCGGTTCAGAAAAATGGAAATAGGTTCTCCTTCAAAGAGGTTTGGAACAGCTGCGGCCTTAAGAGCAAAAGGGTCATGGCAGCTTTCAAGTTCTCACTTTCATTAGGATTTGCAGTTCTATTTGGGTTGATATACAATAAGCCCGATGGTTACTGGTCAGGACTCTCGGTTGCTATCAGCTTTGCCGCAGCAAGAGAGGCGACATTTAAAGTTGCAAACATTAAAGCACAGGGGACAGTTTTGGGGACTGTATATGGAGTTATAGGTTGCTTCCTTTTTGAAAGGTTCTTGCCAATCAGGTTTTTGTCTCTGATTCCTTGGTTCCTCTTTACAAGTTTCCTAAGGCAAAGCAAGATGTATGGTCAGGCTGGTGGAATATCTGCTGTCATTGGTGCCGTACTGATATTGGGAAGGAAAAATTTTGGTCCCCCAAGTGAATTCGCCATAGCAAGAATCATTGAAACATTCATTGGATTATCTTGTTCAATTGTGGTAGACATTCTTTTCCAACCCACAAGAGCTTCAACTTTGGCTAAAATTGAGCTCTCTAAAAGTTTGGAGACGTTGCATGTATGTATTGGCTCCGTGTCTCTCCAAGTCAGCGAAGCCAGCCTGGTAGAGAATCAAAAGAAGTTGAAAATTCATGTAAATCATCTAGGAAAATTCATTGGAGAAGCTGAGGTGGAGCCCAATTTCTGGTTTTTGCCTTTTCATAATGCTTCCTATGGTAAGCTTTTGGAGTCTCTGTCAAAAATGGTGGATCTCTTGCTTTTCGGTGCTCATGCAATAGGATTTCTCGAACAAGAGTCACAAAAACTTCAAACTTCTTGGAAGGAAGCTGTAAATAGACTAGAAGGTGACCTTAAACTCTTCAATGACTCAGTTGGATCTTTAATAAAATACCTTGGGAAGATATCGTTGATCAAATCACTCCCAATACTTGACAAGGAACTTGAAAAGAACAACATTTCTCATGATCTTGAGATGGGAAAATCACCATGTCCGAATTTTTTTAGGGTTTCTGGTTCAGACGATGAAGATGATGAGATGGACAAGATTTTGAATTCATTTCTTCAACATTCGAAAGAAGTTGTTGATATTATCCATGGCATTGAAGGTGAAAAGGAGATTAAGAGCCAGATACTTTTAAGTTTGAGTGCCCTGGGGTATTGCATGAAAAGTTTAATAAGAGAAACCAGACAGATTGAGGAGGGAATAAGGGAACTTGTTCAGTGGGAGAATCCTTCAAGCCTTGTTAACTTGCATGAAATCTCATGTAAAATACATGTTATATACAGTTAATTGTTGTATCATGAGAAATAGATAATTTAATCCAAAAAAAAAGAGTTACCAATTTCTAAAACATCTTCAAAAAAGAATGATAGATGGAATATATAATACAAAAATTAATAGTTACTTCTAGAGTTATGGTAGTATTAGCTTGGCGAGTCCATGCTGCATTAATATTTTCATACTCATTTAATTATCAATATAAGCTCTAGCTTAAATTGAAATATTAATTGAAGCAATACAAATATAATATAAATAGACACAACTTAAATTCTCAAAGGTGATTTTTTGCCTATTCAATTTCATTATGGATGATGAGTCAAAAATTTTGAAAAAACAAATCTGAAAAAAAGAAATATCTATATAATAAGAACAAACTCCGATACACAAAATTTTCCACTTTACAAGGGTTAGGGTGAGGGTTTTGAGTTTCCGATTCATTTCAAAAAAAATTTATTTATATTAAATTTAACGAATTTATAAAAAATTATTTTGTAACTCAAACGAATCATACATTGATGATGGATTTATTTCATATCACCTACAATATCATTACGAAAAGAAAAAAAAAAAAAAAGAATCCATCAATGGACTTGTCATAAACTTTATTAAAAGTGGGATACAAATGCATGCTAAAAAAGATAAGTGGTTTAATTATTAAGAATTTGAAATGGTTTGGTTTGTCGAGGTTTAAAGTGATTTAGATGACTTACTTAGTTCTTTTGATTCGCTAAAATTTCTAGTATTCCACAAAGTTGTCGAATGTATATGATCCTCGAGGAAATGGGCGGAAAGTGATTATCGAATAACATCGGATTTTTTCTAAGGCTACTGTAAAGCACTAAATTAAGATTAACGTATAATAATAAAATATAACACAAATCGTTGATTTTAACCGTATTATATATAATCAACTTTGCACTGTTTTTGGAAGATTTAATGATCTTTTTTAATAATGTCGCTATTTTTCTTAATGACAGATTGGACAAATGTTGCTTGAAAAAAAAGAAATACTAAAAACCCATTCTTCTATAATAATGGTGGTGGAAAATGATGTGGATGGATAATGATACATTGAAGAATGCTCAATGAGCATAAGCCAAAACAGAAACAAATTGAGTTAATGATGTTTTTAGTGAAAAATTTTGGAATGTTAGTATTTTGAAATATATCAATTTAAAATAACGAAATTTGTAATTGTATTGTTTCAATAATTATTTTTTAAAAATAAATTTTAATTATTGGAATTTGATGAAATAAAAAAAAAACAATTATGATAGACAAATAATGATATTAGAGATAAAAAAAAAACCAAAATACTAAAAATATATAATATGGTATCATTAGATTTGTAAAAAAGTATAGATATTATTAACAATATAAAAATTAAAAAAATTATAATTAGTTTTTATAATTAAAATTAAAGAAAACAAAAATTACGTAAAAAAATAATAAATATTAACCTCTTACCATAAAATAAAAAAATTTAAAGACCTAACAGAAGAGGAATGGGCTTTCGGGGCAGACACATTAGAAAATAAAAGTCCGAATCTTTCAAGGAAAAGGCCGACTGCTGTGGCTGCTGGGATTCGAGCCCAGGTCTCCACGGCCACAACGTGGAATTCTTACCACTAAACTACAGCCACTTGATGATGATTCTGTTTCTCAGATTTTTTTAAAATTCTAATGGTCAAGACTTAGATCTGCCTCCAACTAGCGGCAGCCAACCACCAAATACTTAAACAGGCAATGACCCAGATTCGTTGTCGTCACAAGCCTGCTTTTCAAGCTATCTCTATTCATTATTTCAAAGGGCAATGAGGTGTACTGTAATGCCGGGAGAAATACATATAATCCTATATTCTAAGTTCTAACTCAAATGTTAGCTCTATAGTTACAATTAGAAGTATTCATGAGATGCTCAGATCAAACCTGATCAACCCTCAATCCAAATCGAATCAGATATGCGAATCGGATGGGTGATACAAATCATGAATAGATCTAGTTGTAAAGATTATTTGGATTAATAATAAAATTGATTTTAATAAGATTAAAAATGATAATAAATGTTGTTATATTTACGATTAAAAAATTATTAAACAATTTTATAATTTCATTAAAATTAATATTTAAACTTAATTAATAATACCATTAACTTAACTACACCGAAATCCAAATCATCACTCATTCTCAACCAATTGCAGGGCCCACATAATTTTTACACGTGGCAGCAACCAGATACGTAAGCTACTAAGCTTAAAGAGAGCTCATGTAAAAAAAAAGCGAAACATCTGCCATTAATAAAGCAAAATCTCCCTTAATTGTCGCCCTTAAACACACTTAAATTGACTTCCTTAAGCAGATATATTACTTTTAACCATTCCTAATCTCGATTCTCTCATTCCCAAACAAAACCAAAAGCCCTTCATTAAAACCCCGCGTTTGTTTAGGTAATTAAGATCGCAAATAAATAATCAAAAGTTGAATTTTTTTGGGGGAAAATGTTTGGGGTTTTACTTCTGTTTGGTGTGATCTGAATTATTGTTATCGTTAACGAGGAGCTATCATCAAAAGCTCTCAGTTTTCGTAATTTAGAAGGCTCCCCCAATTTAAAATTTTTAATTTGTTTAAAAATTTTATTTGGTGGAAGAAGTTTCGATTTTTAGAACCATTTTTGAAACCATAAATAAGGCTTTCTGATCCCAGGTTTTTTGTGTAAGTAAGAGATCAACTTCACTTCGGTTTTGTCTGATTCTTGAAATTCTCAATCAGGTCCTCTTATTACAATTTTCGATCTCAAAATCAATCCTTTTTTCTCAAAACCATGACCAGTGTTTTGTCTTTCAGTTGCGCTTTGTTTTGTTTCTTCTCAATCAGGTCCTTTCTGTGGCAGGTTTTTGAGTTAAAACGCGAGATCTGAGCAATGGCGGCAAATTCATCAAATGGGGAACAACAAACAACCTCAAAGCCACCACCTTTGCCATCTCCATTGCGCTTTTCCAAGTTCTTTCAGGTTTTTGTTTTTTGCTTTTTCTTTAATACTAAAGGGTTTGTATCAGTTTATATTCTTTATCATGTTATGCAGCTTTCTCTTTCTTTTTGTTAATTGATAGTAAGTGATTGTGATGTTTTCTGCATCTGGGTCGTTGCTTTTCTGTGGGAATTAGCCTTTGCTTATGGCTTAAGAAAAAATGGTTTATTTAGAGTAGTTTCAAGTGGGGCAGACAATGGTCCCGCAGTACATGAGATATAAATACTATCTCATAAAGAAGAGGAAAATGCGTGTGAACAGTTGGTGACAGTACTCTTAGCTTCTGTACAAAGTTTATCAAATCTGTTTAATTGTGTGTTAACATTCTCATTTGGTAGTGAATCTGTTCACTGTTTGCTAATCTTGGAAATGTTTGAGAAACGTGTTGGCAGGCCATGTTCGAAAAGTGACCTCTTGTTCCTTGATATGTTAATGTGTAATTTTCAGTCTTTTCAAAATAAATGGCCAAGAGATAATTGAGAGCAATATAACAATAAATAATTCTTTGAAAGCAATTCAACCAGATTCATTCAAAATCATTCTTAAGATTGTTTCAAAATGATTCACAACATTGTTGTCCCTCCTGAACAGGTAGTTCCTGGATTGTAGATCCTTATTATGGTTAAATATTCAGTTTAGATTTGTCAGATGTCTTGTTTATCTAATTGTTTTTTTGATCTTTATGTCCTTGATGGATCAAGGATTGCAGTATTCTTCCTCCCTTAGCTATCTTATTTCTATATGTTTTGGAGATTGTTTGAACTCTCCCCTATTTCTTACATGAAGTTTTTATTGATAAGTTTGATTACATTTTAACTTGTTTCTTCGTGTACTTATTATTTATATCTCTAATATTTTTTTTTAACCATTTACAACAGTCCAACATGAGGATTTTGGTTACTGGAGGAGCTGGTTTTATTGGTTCTCACTTAGTGGACAAATTGATGGAAAATGAGAAAAATGAGGTTGGTAGATTTTCTTATCACATCCAAGCTCTGTTTCCTTATTTATAAATGAATACAGACCCATTTTACTAAGATTATTGTTTATTATACCATTATATGTATCTAATACCTTCATGCTCAGGTGATTGTTGTGGATAACTACTTCACTGGATCAAAGGACAATCTTAGAAAGTGGATTGGTCATCCTAGATTTGAGCTTATTCGTCATGGTAATTTCTTATCCTTTAGCCCATTTTTCTGGATACCAAAAGTTCTCTTTTTCATTGCCATAAACGTCTAGTGGATGTATACTTACTATAATCCTTTTTCTTTATTGTAATATATATTTTTCCTTATACATTTTGTGGTCAATTAGAATCGGTCAGCATGAGTCAAACGTAGTGTTGCTGCTCTATATAAACCATGTTGGCTGTTGTATCCTGTGTATTGATCCGTCTGTGCTGTAAGCTTGAACTGACTGTTGTGAAGTAGTATCACTATATTAGGAAAATTAATTTTCAGAAATTTGGCATTTATATGAAATTTTTGAGTCATGGCTTCATTTTGCTGTCTACTGCATTGTACAGCAACACAAAATGCTTAAAATGGAAATGGATTGTGAGCACAGAAGTTTCATATCACGAATGGAGATATGAGATTGTAAAGGACTATATTTTGTTACATTGGTTGATATAAAGTTTATTCTGGTAATTGAATCTGTATCTCTTTTTCATCTTTGCAGATGTTACTGAGCCATTGTTGGTTGAGGTTGATCAAATTTACCACCTTGCATGCCCAGCTTCTCCAATTTTCTACAAATACAATCCTGTGAAGGTGGGTGTTGGTGTTTCTGCAATGCTTTTTGAAATATTTTTGACCGGTTCCTTGATTTTTACTTTATATTTCGATAGACAATAAAGACAAATGTCATTGGTACGCTGAACATGCTGGGACTTGCCAAGCGAGTGGGAGCAAGGTTAGGGATGTGTTTCTTATCAATTTATTTATATTTCCTTCTCTGCTGGCTCTACTCAATTGGGATTTTGTGGAACAGGATCTTGCTCACGTCAACTTCAGAGGTATATGGAGATCCTCTTATCCATCCACAACCTGAATCATACTGGGGTAATGTTAACCCAATCGGTGAGTTTCCTCCATTGAAGTTTGAACCGTTTATGCTCTTTGAGCAGTTAGTAATGATTGAAACTTTTGTACTTGTGGAAGACAGACTACTTTCATTAGAAGATACATTCTTGCCATTATGATATTTCATTTATTTTCAAATCTTTCAAACCTGTTTACAATTTGGTATAAATATGCTATTAGCCAATACTGTGTAATGTAGAATTTAACCTAGGAGATGCAATGGCCAGTGAATGTATAATTTTATGGCAACATTAGGCCTCCTATTTGTTGTAGGGGTTCGGAGCTGCTATGATGAAGGGAAGCGTGTGGCTGAGACCCTAATGTTTGATTACCATAGGCAGCATGGGATAGGTGAAATTTCTTGGTATGCATAAATGAAGTCATCTTGTTATTTTATTAATACTTAACATTGTCCTTTTTATCCTTTACCATAGAGATACGCATTGCTAGAATCTTCAACACATATGGTCCACGCATGAACATCGATGATGGGCGTGTTGTCAGCAATTTCATAGCTCAAGCACTGCGGTAAGTATTGTGTTTTAATGTGTTGTATTGTTATTAGCATATTTCTGCAACTTTTTTTCTTAGGTTTGTTGCCAACAAGACCACCATTCACTTAACAATTACTGATTTAATTGTAGAATGACAAGACAGTTGTTTCCTAATTTCTGTTACAATGTAGTCTATTAGAACAACTCTTTTTCCCTCTTGTTTCTCCACTGAGCTAGTATCGTCTCTCATATTACATCTCTTTTGCACTTTGTAGTGGTGAACCACTGACAGTTCAAAAACCTGGCACACAAACTCGCAGTTTCTGTTATGTCTCCGACATGGTATGCTACACGTGTAAAATTTTGACTAGCTTTAATTCCTTCCGATAGCCCTCTATCGTAACAAAATGAAGTGTAACATCTGTAAAAATGTTTAGGTTGATGGCCTTATTCGTCTCATGGAGGGGGAGAACACTGGTCCAATTAACATTGGGAACCCAGGTTATCCTAAAACTTTTATGTGACTGTATGGACATTATGATGCACTTACTGATTAGAGGCTTTTTGTACGCTTTTAGGTGAATTTACCATGCTTGAGCTTGCTGAAACAGTCAAGGAGGTAAGTTCCATATTTTCACTACTTTGGTTCCGTCCTGTATGTGTACATCATTAAATACTTCAAACTAGCTCGATTTATTTTGATCATTGAGAAGTTTAAGACTTATCAGCCTCTTGTCAGATGTTGTTTGACATTGACCTAGCTTCTGTTTCGTGGTGCATCGTTGCAGCTCATTAATCCTGATGTAGAGATAAAGATGGTGGAGAACACTCCAGATGATCCGAGACAGAGAAAACCTGACATCACAAAGGCGAAAGAATTGCTAGGATGGGAGCCGAAAGTCAAGTTGCGGGATGGTCTTCCATTCATGGAGGAGGATTTCCGATTGAGGCTAGGAGTCTCCAAAAAGAAGTGAAAAAACTATTCATGAATTACGCAAGAGGGTGAAATTTTCTATGGCAGATTCAATGCTTGTGGTGGGTAACTGAGAATATATTTCTCCAATGCCTCATCTTGTTCTTTATTATATCGTAACAGAAAATAAAACATAACCACAGAATGTGAGAATTTGTGAAACTACTTTAATTTTAGCAGTCCTTACAGAAACATAGATGATCTTGTTACCGTGAATTTTGTTTGCTACAGCAATTAATAAACTATGGTGATTATCTGTTCTACTTTCTTGACAAACTCTCTCTTGAAGAAATTAATAACATGTATAATTATAATATTAGTATTCAAGATTCAATTTTTTTAACATTTTTGCTTCACCATACTTTACTTGTTCAAGTTTCTTTTGAAAATTTTTTTTACCGAATATATAATAAATCAAAAGGGAATATAATAAAGGATTTTTTTTTAAAATCCCAATATAAAACAACTAATTATATATACAATTAATAATAAAAAATATAGTAATAAAAAAAATCTTGGAATATATAAATTAGATTTAACGTATTGATATTAGAAGAAATATCAACTTACACAGTGTAATTATTTTTTAATTTTATATCTTTTAATAATTGATTTAAATAAATTTAAAAGATGTGGGACAAGTAAAAAATAAAAAATATATATGCAAAATAATAATAATAATGTGTAAATTGATTCCACCTCTTAATATTATACTATTTAACATATTTTATAAATTTTCTCTTAATTACTTTATTTGATCTTTTAATTTTCTTATGAAATGAAAGTTGGATATTTATATTAATACATACTATTTAACACTTAATTACTTCATTTTATTATTTTTTTTCTTATGAAAATGAATGTTGGATATTTGTATTTTATATGTCATCACTTTTTTGAAGATTTGGATACAATTATGTGAATAATGCTAATTAATTTTTGTAATTATAATATTTATTTTAATAAAATAAATTCATGCATAAGTTTTTATTAAATATAATGTCACAAAATTTGAAAAATTTTTTTCTTTTTAAACAAGTTTTCCCACATTTAATAACACATCAGACTTTTTCAATTGGTCTGGGCTTTTTTTTTTTTTTTCCCTATCATATTTTTTTCAAAATTTTTAATTATAAAATAATTGCAAACATAATTTTTTTACTGGATTTTCAAATTGTTTCAAAATTTGAAGTATGAAAATAAATTTCTTGCAAAAATAAAAAAAATAATGATAAAAAGTTACATCAATTGAAAGATTAACGTTAAATTTGGTCTACTCACAAAAATAAAGTAATAAATTTATATTTTGTCACATATAACTTAATAAAAACATTTATTATTATAACATGTTAAATAATTCAAATTCAAGGGTGATAAAATAGAAATACAAATTTTAGAACTGATAATTTATTAATGTTTCACATTTGGATTATTCTGATTTATATGTTTTCAAACTCTAATATTTCTTTTTGATGATTATGTCCATATATAAAAATATTAATCATAGAGTAGAAGTATAGTTTAAAATAAAATAAAAAAAATTCTTTTGGATCACCTAATATAGATAAGCATTTTATTTTCTTATTTTTTATAAATTTTTAATTTACCTTTAAACATTTTATCTAACTATATACCTGATTAAAAAGAACATTAAATATTTAAATTCTCTCGAATCTACAATTTTCAAGTACCAATTTCAATAACATATCAATTAATCAAAGAAATAATCATTATTTTTTATAAATTGTTAACATCTACTCGATTTTATCTTTTTGTCAAAACTTTATATATTAAACATTTTTACTTAATTATACTATTTGAAAAAGATAAATTATCAAATATGTTGTTAAATATAATTTTTTAACTCAATAAGTATAATTAATATGATCATATATATTTTTAAGATATATTTAAAAAAATTAATTAAAAATAAAACATGTATTACCATATTAATTCTATTTATAAAATTTTTAAAAATATACTAATAATGTATGGAATAAATTTTTTTAAATATATTAAAATGAAATAAGTCATCTGATTTCAAACACTTTGCTTTTTTTTTTTTCTTTTTTCCCCCCTAAACCACTCAATGGGTCACACCAATCATTACTTAGAGTAGGTGATGTTTATTGTCAATTTTAACATAAAAGACTAAGGGCAGATGATTTTATTATTTATTTATTTATTGAAAGGGAAAATTGAACTTATTTTTAATGAAAAATATATTTATTTATTATTAAATTAAATATTTAAGTACCAAAAATCATAAAAAGATGTTCGGTTTATAAAATCTTAAAATTTAAAGAAAAACGTGAAATTCGAGAAATTATAATACTTAAAGAAAAGTTTGATTTTTAGGGTATTTTATTTTTTGATTATTGTGTTTGATCGGTGAAAATTTGTATTTGTTAAATTATATATTTTTATCATAATATTTTTAATAATATTTAAAAAAATATTTATTATTATTTTTAAAATAAACACGATAAATAATGCATTTACTTTCAAATGAACTAAAGATTTTATATATTTTTATAAAATTAAAATTATACCAATTACAGCATTTACATAATAAAATAAATAATTGATGTGAAATTTTAAAAAATAACTATATTTAATTAAAAAATGTTGTAATTACTTTCATTTAAAATTTAAAAATATTTAATTAAAAAAAATCAGAATTGACTTAAATTTAAAATATTTATTACAACATTATTTTATTTAAATATCATAATTTTTATTTAACTAAATTACAGCGTTTGAAAGAAGCGCCATAATTGCCGTAATATCCAAAAGCAATAGGCCCTCACGTGGTAGGCACCACCAGCCTTTTTCTGGTCTTTGCCAAGTGCTCCGCCCATGTGTGGTAAAAAGAGGTTTCTGTTTTCAGGCTGGATGCAAGTCTTTATGTTAATTTGGTCCATCTGAAAAATTGTTTTATAATTATTTTATAAATTTCAATTTAAAATTTTAAGTTAAATGATTTAAAATTTGCACAACTTAAAGTAGGATGAACTTTCACTATCGATGGGATTAAATCACTTGGCTTTTTTTTTTTTTAACATTTTAATTATGAAAATACAACGAGAGGTTAAATGAAAGGGTTTTTTAGTATAAAATTTTAAAATTTAATTATAAAATATATGTTTATATTATTTTTTATAAAATACTCAATTACAATATTTTTATATGATAAATATCGTAATAATCATATTTTAAATACAATACATATATCATTAAATTATTTTTTATGTTTAAAAAAAACACCCTAATAACTAGTTATAAAATATATGAAATTACCAAAAAAAATAATTATTACGTTTTGTTAAAAAAAAACATCATAATTGATTTACTGTTATTTCAGTTTTAATTTCAAACTTATTTTTTTAAAAAATAATATAAATATAATACATTTTTTATTCAAATTAAATGTGAAACTTAAACAAATTTTTGCCTAAAATTATAAAATATCATAAAAAGATGATGTTTTGATTCTAAAATTTTAAGCATTGCTGAGAATTTAATATATATTTTTTTAAATTAGAGAACTTTGAAATAGACATGAGAATCAAATATTTATAATTAAAATTTTAAAAAAATTTTGAATTCTTTCAAATCAAATGTCTTTTAAATATTTAAATTATATATAATATAATAAAAGCGTTGTTAAACTCTTTTTTTTTTTTAATATTCAAGTTGCAACATTTTTTGTAAAAAATAAAAACGTGTAGAAACTATATGCATATAATAAATAGCAGTTTTTGAGAAAAAAATTGAAAGCAATTTTGCTACTTGAGACAAAATTTTTTTGATATATTCCTTTTGCTTTAAAATGTTTTTAATGTATTAATTTTCATAGAATTTAAGAAAAAATTTTAATTTTAATATAATTAATATTAAAATTTAAATTTTAACTTTAAAAAATTAAATTTAAAATTTTTTATACAATTAAAATTTTATAATTTTTAATATCAAAAATTAAAAAAAATTTAAAATAAAAAAAATAAAAAATTTAGATGTTTAACAAAAATAAATATCTAGAAAAAGGACTAAAAAAAATGGAATCGAGAGAGTAAAATATAGAACTCGCTATTTCAAAAATTTGAAAACATTGAGGGCTAGGTTTTCATCGCATTTTATTTGCGGTTTGCCTCTTGTTTTCCCGCAATCCGCCAAAATAAAATCAAATTTAACTCTACAAAAGTTCACCGCCTAATTTAAAATTTCAAAAGGCACAATCCCTGTCACATGCCACAAAATTGATCTCGACCGTCGATGATAATCCCATCTACGGTTCATGTGTAATTCAACTAGAATGACACGGATAGACACTAAATCCGACATTCCAAACACCTACAATTCGCGCAGTAACATTATACGTCACACAACCGTCGATTTTAGCAGCGTCAACGGTATAGATGTAACTCATTCTTTTCACGCGGATCGATACTTTTAGCCGTCGATAAAATGTAATCGTACAACTCACACTAGCCTCCGCCAAACGTTTCAAAACCCAAAATCCCACTCCTTTGCTCTTATAAATTTTCCATAATTCCATCCGCCTTCCATTCACAACAATTTTCTCGTTCTTCGATTTTATTAGTTGTTGTTCGAGAAAATCAGAAGCTTTCGAAGAAAATGTCAGGAAGAGGAAAGGGAGGTAAGGGGCTTGGAAAAGGAGGAGCCAAGAGGCACAGGAAGGTTTTAAGGGATAACATCCAAGGTATCACCAAGCCCGCGATCCGCCGTCTCGCTCGTAGAGGAGGAGTCAAGAGGATCAGCGGCCTGATCTATGAAGAAACCAGAGGAGTGTTGAAGATTTTCTTGGAGAATGTGATTCGTGATGCCGTGACTTACACGGAGCACGCAAGAAGGAAGACTGTGACTGCCATGGACGTTGTTTATGCTTTGAAAAGGCAGGGCAGGACTCTTTATGGTTTTGGAGGTTAGGTTTAGTACTCTTATCATGGATCTTGGCTATAGATCTTTGCTTTTATGTAATCGTTTCAGTACCTTGATGTTATTGTAATCTGTAATCTTGAACATGATCAATGGATTTCGTTCAGCAAAGCTTTTGTGTTTCATTCCGTATTTTTTTTTATTTACTTTTTTTTCCAGGGACTTGTTTTTACATGAAATTAAAAGCCATTGTTTATTTTATAGTATAGAATGATATTATAGGTATGGGATGTTTGCCCGAGACGGTCGTGCTTTGTCGTAATTATGACAACCCACCGCAGCAAGTGGGGCGGATATGTCTCAAGTGTTAAGTCAACTTCTCCATTAAAAATTAGTCATTATATAAAAATTTGATTATAATGGAAAACACCCAATCAGCATTGTCACTTATAAATTAAAAAAGTTTTTTGTTGGTTTGGGGCATATAAACAATAATTGATGCATTTGGTTCCAATTTCCTTGTCAAAATTGGCCACTTCTGGCTTCCTTGCCCGTGGCAGTAGCATTTTCACTACAGACGCCAAAATAGTAGCTGGCTACTGGCAGTTACCTGTATAGCAGTCCAGAACCTGACGATTTTTTTTACGGACAATCCCATTTATCCACTAAAACAGTGCCACTTGTTGGTTAATTGTCACATCTTTTGCTGACGTGGATTCTACCCGATACGACCAAAACAGCGAACTCATTCACTGCCATCCCCTCTTTTATTATCCTCTCTCTCTCTCTCTCTCTCTTTGGAGAAAGGGAAAAAAAAAAGAAATACTGTCTTTCCAGATTTTTGTCGAAACGACAGAAAAAAAAAAGAAGGTAAAACTCAACGACCGGATATCGGCGCTTGAGCTGAGCAATTCAAGTTCTTGCATTTTCACTGGTAGTTTCCCGTTGCCAGTATGGGAGTGCCGAGCGACGACGCCGTCTTGATCCAGAAAGGAAAGAAGCCAGGAGAGCCTCATGTAATCACTGTTAATTGTCCTGATAAGCATGGCCTAGGATGCGATATTTGCCGTATAATTCTTGATTTCGGTCTCTACGTCACCAAAGGAGGTCAATTCTTTGCTCCCTTTAGCGTTTCTTGCCTCCTCTTTCTATTTTTACTGCAATTACTTTTTTCCTACTTAAAATTATAGGATTTATGCTATTAGATTTGCATTATTTAAAATTATGAATGCTTTTTAGTTAATTTAGTTCTAGATCTTCTTTTTACATAAATAGAATTATGGAATTATCTGGATTGGCTATGTTTTAATGGTAAACAGTTTTGGTTATAGATGTTTCAACGGATGGAATTTGGTGCTATATGGTATTTTGGGTGGTTCCTCATTCAAGCTCACCTTTTGTAAGGTGGCCGAGTTTAAAGAACCGCCTTCAGTCCTTATGTCCATCTTGTTCAGTGACATTTTACTTGAATGATCAAAGTTCCACCTCTGCGGCTTCTTCAGTTTACTTGTTAAAGTTCTTTTGCCTTGATCGGAAAGGATTGTTACATGGTAATTGCGATTCCAATTAAATGTTCCTTAATTTATGTGAATGTGTGTGCGTGCATGTTTGTATGTGTGCAATGTGCAGGGTTGGTTCTAATGCGATTGGAATCCTGCTTTTAGATGTCACACAGGTTCTCTGTGAGCTCGAGCTCACAATTCAAAAGGTGAAAGTTACCACAACCCCAGATGGTAGAGTCCTTGACCTCTTCTTTATAACTGATAACATGTAAGATTCTATTTTGAGATGAATGCGATGCTTTTTCTTTAGAGAAATTTTTGCTCGTGTAATAGTGGTGTTCTGTTGCTGATTGGTTTTTTTTTTTTTTTTGGATTATTTATGAGAAATTTCAGTTCTTTGTTTCTGTTTGTTAGGTTGATATATCTAGGCTCTAGCTCTTAAATGTTGTCCGGAAAGTTTTTAGTTTTGGACCACTTATCGAGTTGTCCACTTCTAATGAAAGTGAAATAATTGTCATCTCATGCAGTTTGTGGTTTTATTTGCCTTGGACCATCTTGTTTTATGTATCTGTGTGCCTTTGTTCCCTACATAGCTTATTATTATTTCTCTTTGTAATCAGTTTCTCAAATACCTTATTCTCTCTCTGCTGCATTTTACTCCTCATGGAAAATAAGAACTATATGACTTGGACACTTTCTTGATGCCTGTATTAACTCCTTTTACGTATAGGTCATTGAGAATGCCTTTTAATTGAAAAGTGAAATGACATGTTACATGTTGTCCGTTGATGATTGAGCTATTATTTGTAGATTTGGGGTGTTTAGAACTTGTCAACCAGTTTTCTTTGGAAACTGTGTAATTGTATTAATTATAACCCAGTGATCAAAGAATAAAGTATTGAATGGTTTGGTTATTAATCTCAATTATATTGCAACATTGTTAGGGAGCTTTTACACACAAAAGAACGGCAAGATGACACGTATAAACAATTAAATGCTGTGTTGGGTGAATCATGTATCAGTTGTGAACTCAAGTTGGCAGGTCCTGAGTATGAATGTCATCATGGTATCTCATCTCTTTCTCCTGCTTTAGAGGAAGAATTATTTCATTTTGAGCTATCAGATAAAGAGAGTCGTTCACAAGCTCTTAGCCCAGATATGAGGAAATTAAAGAAAGCAAATGTGGTAGTAGACAATTCATTGAGCCCAGCTCATACATTGCTTCAAATACATTGTGTTGATCACAAAGGGCTTTTCTACGATGTGTTGAGAACTTTGAAAGACTGCAATATCAAGGTATTCTATATCCTGCTAAAACTGTTAATGTTTGACAAGTATCTTATAAAATTAGTTTTTGTTGTATGGCACTATAGTTTGCCTGTTTGATTATGTGCATAATTCCTAAATCTCTCAGATTGAAGATGTCTCACTACTGATATGATTCAGGGTTTGAGGTTGTTTAACCTCTACATTTTTTATAACTGTCCTTTGAACTTTCATCCCCCAAAATCAAACGAGCAACACAAATAATTTTCTGTTTGGAGAATGTGACTATCAGGTTCGGTAGCTGGTAATTCTATATATTTCCTTAGATTAGACCCGGGGCCATAAAATTCATTAAACAGCTGGTTCTCCATTGGCTTGTTTCGTGGAGCCCACTGGATTGTCTCTTGCCGAAGATGCTCATGATTGAAACAACTTTGATGTCTAACTGTTTGATTCAATATATCTCCTCCTTTCTTCCACTTTGTTGATAAATGCTATTTGTTTCTTTTTTACAGATAGCTTATGGTCGGTTCTCACCAAATTCCAACAGCTACCGTGATTTAGACCTCTTTATTCAGCAAAAGGATGGGAAAAAGATTGTGGATCCTGAGAAGCAAAATGGGCTATGTTCTCGTCTGAAGGTGGAAATGCTTCACCCACTGCGTGTCATCATTTCAAACCGAGGGCCAGATACTGAACTTCTGGTTGCTAATCCAGTTGAGTTATCTGGAAGGGGAAGACCACGAGTTTTCTATGATGTTACACTAGCTCTAAAGGCCCTTGGGATTTGCATATTCTCGGTAAGAAATCATTTCATTAAAAGAAAGTGATTTGAAACCCATGAACAGATCGTAACTTTTGTTTACTTGCTATGATATAACATAATGGCAGGGGAATAATGAATTTCCATTGTTTAATACCAATATGGTAGCCTATTTTGAGCTAAAGATATATATTTTATGATATTGTAGCAAGAAGGCTAATGGTTCATTCAGCCTTCATATCTGCAAATCCGCTTGTCGAATTATTTTGTGCTAGGCAGCAGCCAAATCATTGTTTTCAACTATTTGTAACTGTAACCATTTGCTTTCCTGGTTTTTAGGCTGAAATTGGAAGACATTCAAGTTCAGATCGGGAATGGGAAGTCTACAGATTTCTTTTGGATGAGAACTGCAGATTCCAATTATCAAGTATGGTAGCTAGAAACCAGATTGTAGATAGAGTTAGACGATTGCTGATGGGTTGGTAAGTGGAGTCATCTTCTTTGTACCTGGATGATGAGTCCCACAACCATTTACTGCACTTTGTCCTGGTTTCAGTTTGGGGCTCTAATGATCTCCCGAGTCCCGACCCTCCTAGCCACCCCTGCAATGCACTAATCCCCAATTATATCTTTGATGCATTCGGTTTGTATTCTCAAATAAACCTTCATATGATAACCTATGTTGAGCATGTGTAAGTCAAATATGAGTGCTCTTTATTTTTTTGTAGAGAGGGACAGAAACTAGTATGATGTAAAGCATGCTTGTCCAATCCGTTCTTGGTTTCCAGCCTAACCCATGTGTTTGTTGCTTGGTGAGATAAATAAACTTATGAACCTTTGAATTATTGAACCATTAATTAAACATTTTACTCTGTATTGTTATTAGACTACAAGTTGCTGCTACTGAGCATAGAGCATACTAGGTTGCCACAATAGTTGGCGAGGCGGTGATATTTTTTACTATAAAAAATTATATAAAAATTTATTACTTATATCTGTGGACTTTTAAAACTTTATCAACATGTGTAAAAAAGAAATCATGAAAGTTTAATACATTGAACTTCATCAAATTAATTATTATATTTAATATAAAATATCATGATAAACGTTAATTTAATTAAGCTTGAACAGGGATCTTAAAGGGTATTGATTGACAACATCTTTAATTCTAATATTGATTCACTTCTAAGATTCAATGTATCAGAGCATTATGGCTGCGTTAAAGCTAAAGCACTAGTCTTCAATCCGTGGAGTTGGCAATAATTGTCAATTTAACAGGCTAAGATAACGTGAAACGACCGTCAGCTTCAGTTGTTTTTTTATTCTTTTCTTTTTTTTTTTGGGGGGGGGGTGTGTAGAGGATCAAGTAAAGATATTAACAAAATGTGAGATAACATGAAGCAAAGATGCGTAAAAATTTTTTTTTCAAAATTGACACGCAACAAAATGCTCATTTTAATGTAAACTTTGATAAGTAGTGTTAGTTTATGTTCAAACGCAATGATAAATAAAATCGTAAGGATGAGAATTACACGTGGCGAATGGATTAACAACGATAACTTTCCCATTTCTATTGCTTGTGAAGATAATTTCCCGCTTTTACTTATCCTGTCTTCCTAGAAAACGGATGCCGGACACGTGGTGGAAAATGTCAGAATGCACCAAACCACGACACCAAAATTCCAGTCACCACCATCCCTTCTGCCGCCTAGCGGCTTCCGCATGAACGCTCCGCTACACTCCCCTCCCCTCCCCTCTGCCACTCTGACACGCTCAACGCCGTTGCAACACCATTGCAACACCGTTTAATTATTATTATTAAACCCACTGCTTTTTATGCTGTCGGTGAAAGGTCGAAGCGGCTATTGCCATTGCTTAACGAAGAAGCTTTTTTAATTAGGAGAGAATAAAATAAAATAAAAAAAACACTTTCTTGAGTTTGTTGTTTTCTCTTTGTTTGGATCAAATTCAAATTTAAATTCAAATTTCCTCTCTCTCAAATGATAGATTTTCCTTTTATTTTTATGCTTCTAAGATCTTAACATAAAAATGCTGCAAAAAGAAGCTTCTTCAAGACCTCGAAGCTCCGCTTATCTCAACGCGCTCTCACAAGAAATAGAGAAGAGGCTTCACCGGGTTCGCTTTCTCATCTCTTTTTTTCTTTTTTTTTCTGTTTGTTTCTCGAGATAATGGAAGGAAAAACGGAACGATCTTGGTTTTAGGTTTTTTTTCTTTGTCAAATCAATCTTATCAATATTTTTTAATTTTTTATTCTAAAAAAGGAATATGTTATGTTTAACGTTAATTTTTTCTGCTTTTAAGAGCATTTTGATCGATGTATATTCAAATTTGTTACAGGCATTAGCGTCTTCATCTGAGAGCCGCAACTTATTACAAGAATTATTTGCAGATATAGCTTTGGAAGTCGATGATCGAGCCAAAGGTTAGCTTAGACTTCGTGTTCATGTTCGAAATTACATCAAATTAAGCTTAAAATTGTTCATGTTCAAATTCTCGTGCCTTTTTAATTGATTATAAGGATCGAATGCTATTTAGTAGCGCCTGAGGATTTTGAGGAATTCTCATATTGATTTGTATTGAAATTGAAAACAGATATAATTCGAAGTAAAGAAGAAGTAATATCTCCTTCAGAGTACGGTATTAATGGCCGATTATGCTTTTATGATGTTCTTGCTGATTATTATGTTCAAGTGCCTGAGAGTGGAAAGCCTATCCTTGATTTGATTGTTCAACTGTGGAGCCAGCTATTTGCATCTCACATTTTCGCCCTTTTATTCCACAAATGTGTAAGCAAACTCAAGATTAGTTAATAGTTCTTTTGCCATTTCATTATGGAATTCCTACAGCAGTAATATTCATTGTGATGAGTTTTAGTGAAGACTAAACCATTGTGTTCAAGTTTGATATCATTGTCATATGAATCACTTCGAATCAAGATACGAAGATATGGAGTTCTGCTTAGCTTTCCTAATTTCCAACCTGATTGCTCATTTAGCAGAACTCAGATTTATTTATGATGGTAGTTTAATGTGAATATCATTTGATTGGCTGTTGCCGCTGTTTATTTTTTGTACTACAATTGCATAATTGGTTGGTGGCTCTGCTGGATAGTAATTTGGAGTGTTCCAAACTGGATAAAGTAACAAAGTAAAAACAGATGTAATGTTAGTAGTGATATAGAATTGCAGATATCATGGGTTCTCTGGATGAAAATGACCATAAAAGACTAGCTATAGCATCTTGTTATATTCTCATATCTAATGGTGCTCTGTAGCATATACTGATTGCTTCTACTAGATATTCTAATTGAGATATCTTTGCATTCGGGATTGAATAAATGTTGTTTAATCAGTGAATAATCATTTTGAACAGTAGATGCTTTGTATTTTTTCTGCAGTTATTTGAAGTTCAACTTGATAGTGCTGATGTACTACTTCGTTATTCCTCTGCACTTGTTCAGGGCGCAACAAATGTTTTCTGGTACGAATGCAAATTTGAAATGCTTGAGTGGAAATTTTGTTAGACTGCCAAATGTCACTAGCTTTTGAAGTTGGATGACCAGACTGCCATTAAATGCTGGTCATGATTGTTGAAAGTAGTGGCGTAACTCTTAGCCTGATAATGTCTTATAACTTCGTCAGCTAATTTTTTGTGCTTGTATGCAGGATTGATGTCCAATCAAATACAAGGCCTTTCCAATCTCTCTTTCAGGTAAACTTAAAAGACACATATCACCTTTCCAAGTGCATTTTTGTTTTTATTATTCATTTTGGAGAATCTGTTATCACAATTATCTTCTTCTATGGACTCAGTACCTTCTCGATGAAGTTGCATTGGACTCAACACGGTTAAATAAAATTCCATTACAGGTCAGCTATTTTTGCTTTATGTCGAGTTTTGCATGCTAACAAATTATCTACCATGTGTAATGCTGCTTTTACGCAGATATGTAACATGGAGTTCTGGATCTTTGTATATTTACGGTTTTGTCATCTCCAATTTGTAATTTTCAGGCCCAGCGAGATCTTTACCTTTTACTTTCAAGGTTCATATTCTTTTATAACTCAGGTTGGATTGTTTTTTTCCCTTTGGAACCTTGATTTTGAAAAATAATTTACATGTATGGATATTCCTTTTATGATGTGTTACTCTATGCAGTCGAAAAACTAGAAAGCTTCTTGAAGCAGTGTCCCGAATTTCCAAATGCTTTCCTGGTCGTTGGACCTGCAGATATACTTGTTATTGAACTAGCAGACCAGGTAAAATTATATTTCCATATTAGACAGTACTCATTTTAATGATCTTGTTTATTGTTACCACCTTAATGAAAAGCCTTGGCAACAATTGATATACTAACGTTAGGGAAAAATATTCGTTTGCCAGCTTCAAAAATTAAAAGTGGAGCCAGTCCTACTCCATTATCTTTCGCAAATTAAGGTTCTCCAGGGTATTGCTGCTATCAACTTCTACTAGGTTTAGGGGGTAATCGACTGCTTGAATATGACCTTAATGTTCCATTCCTGCAGGGATGGAACTGAGCATGGCCACGAGTACGAGATTAAAGACCTGTTTGTATAGCTTTACCTCTCCTGGTGGTCCAATGTATCCTACAAGAGCTGTGCGTTATGCAGCTTGGGAGGCCTTAGATTTGCTTTTTCCTGTGAGTACCCATTTTTAACTTCTCTCTTCAGTGATTACGCTTTCCCAAGGAAAACAAATCAAATATCTCTTTTCATCTTGTGGGCCAATGTATGAGCCAGGGATCTGAGGAGGGTTGCCACTTTCCATGACTTGAGCAAATGACCTATATTATTATTTTGTAGGTTGGACGTTACCCTCGACATCTTATAAGTTTGTTCTTTAGACTATTATATCCCTGGTATTGGCCATCTTCGTGTTGGAACTTTATAGTGTCTTGCATAAAGGCTGTGTTTTATTTCTTGTTGACGTTGATCTTTTCTCGTCGGGGGAAAAGCTTAGAGAGCCAAAAAGGGCCTAACCATCGCTCCCAAAGAAGATCCGGGTAATAATTTATGCGCATTGAACTTTATATGATTACTTGTATTATAATATGTTTTCTTTAACCTCTTTTTTTTTTCTTCTGTGGGCTGATGTACCTGTTGGCCATCTGCTAAGTGCAACAATCATTTGTGATAGAGAAAGGTCTCATTACTTCTTTGATACGTTAACATGCATGAATCTAGGCATTAGACACCCACAGATAAGAAGAAGCCGTTAGGTACTGGTGAATTAGGGAAAGAGATCGTAATTCCAAAATCAGATATGCCTTAAATCCTAGACCAAGTTACTTGCCCAAGACCAAATGCCTGAATGTGCTTGGAATTTTTAAACCTAAACCCAATAATGGATCAAGATTATTATTTTCTAAAAGATCTGATAAATATTTTTTTAAAATTTGATTTTAGAAACTTATTTTTCAAAAACTAACTAGTAATTTAACTTAAATTCTAATTTTAAAGTCACGGGAACTCGTTTATCAAAGGCAGACTTATAAAGCAAGGCCCAAACCTAGACCATGGGTTGACGTATGAAAGGTGAGACTTGGATCTCAGATGTTTGGGTCTAGCCCAAATCCGATCATATTGGCGGTTTATTCTTAAGTCATGGGCTGACCTTAGTAGGCCCAAGCTCAGCTCTATAATATTAAGGCTCATCCCAAATCTAAACCCCTTGTACCACACTATATATCCAAGACCATTAACTAGGCCCAACTAAGGCCAGCTTTTACAGATAATAAAACATAAGCCAGGCCGGACCTAGAAGTAAATTTTGTAGCTTTCAGGACTTATTCGACTTTCCCTAATTTAGTGGGCCAGAATTACATCGTTTTAAAACATGATTATAAATAACTTTTCGAACACTATTATGTAAATGATATATTAATAAACGATGTATTGATACTCGTAAATTATTCAAATTTAATTTAAATAAAATTTAAATTTAATTTGATTATTTTCAAATTCAATTTATTAATCGAATCGAATTTGAATATTTTTATATTTGATTTAAGTAACTTACGACTTTAATTAAAATTTTATATTTTAATATATTTTAATTATTTTAATTAATAAAATATCTCAAACTCAAACTCGCGAATACAAATAATTAAATTTTTATTAAATATAAAAATCGAATTTATTTTTACATATTAATCGAATCTGATCAAATAAATTTAAATAATTTGATTTTTATTTCGAATAGAGATCAAATTAAAAAAAATAAAATTTTATCATATTTAAATCAAATTTCGAGTTTTAAATTTTAAATCAAACTTGAATTTGATTTTAATACTGAATCGATTCGAATACTGCTTGAGATAGAGGTAAGAAAAACATTAAAAAAATTCAAAAGCTAACTCAAAATTAAAAATTATGATGTTCAATTTTGAATCGAATCAATTTTTTTTATTAAATTCATATATTAAATTTGAATCGAATTTCAAATCAAAAAATTTAAAATTAAAAAAAATTAAATCAAATCGAATTGTAAATTTTTCTTAGTTTAAATAAATATTTTTTAAATTTTTTTAAAAATAAAAAAAATTTATATCAAAATTTACTTAAATATATTAAAATTTTATATTAAAATAAAAATTAATAATTAATAAACGAAGTTAATAAAATTTGATTTGATTTGAACAAATAAAAATTCAATTTAGATTTAATTTAAATTTTAAATTTTTATAATATTATATAATATTCGAAAAAACTGAACAAAATCCAATGCAATCCATTATCACTCCTAGTTTAAGACACTTTCAGACCCCAATTATTTTAAAGACCCAGTCAAATTATCAATAATAAAATTGAAAAGGATAATTTCAGTCCCACGCAAATTTTGAACGAACAAATATCAGTTTCTACAAGTTTTGCATTTTTTTTCAAAAAAAAAAAAAAATACATTTCTAAAAATGCTTCTTGTAGAAAATGCTATCAACCTCAGTAAATCACCCATTTCCAACACAATAATCCTTCGCTAATGTTTGAAATCTATCCACTCAACTCCAAGAATAAACAAAAACATTCCTAGAGATACTACCTTATGGATTAGATGCATTTTTAAATTGGTAAAAGAAAGAATTCTTGACTAATATTAACTAAAATGATTAGCATTCAATAGTCATAAGAATCGGAAGTCTGATTAAAAGCAACAGAGACCGATAGGTTAAAAATTTGGCAAATTGGCACTCACCAACATGATGGTCAAAATTTGGGGCTAGCTTCCAATATGGAGATGGCAAACATGACAAGTACCGATAGTACAGCAAATAAGTTGTTCTCTTACCCTAATATTCACTTTCCTAAACTTGAATCAGAGAAAGTAGTGATGCTTCATGTTTGAATTAAAGCCATTCTGTTCCAAGCAATAGCATAATGCAAATTCCACCATTTTCGATCTTAGCTCTTGACCCAGTATATTCATGCCCTAACTACTCACTAATGGTTTTAACACCATTCAAACTATTTAACTTTCTGAATCACCATTTAAAACCAACCTGATAGCCAGAGCTTTTCTTCAAACCCACATTCAGGAGTTAGGCAGCATATTGCACCGAACCAATGCCTTACTCAGCAAAGAGCTTAAGAGCAAGGCTGCATATTCCAGCTGATCCCAAAGAAAAGCAGGCATATGCTGAGACAGAGACTACAGTCGCTTTCGATGGAATCTGAAGAAAGTGCACAGTCATAGGCTCCACAACAAGCTCCTATACAGCAATTGTACTAAGCCTTCCAACAGTTTTTCTCCATCAAGAAGCCAACTGGATGAACTGAAAAAGAGAGATTGTACAGTAATTGACTACAATAAGCCACATCAGCAGCCATGACAGATAATGGGAAAGGTATATTTCCTTGAAATAATGCAACAGAGTGAAGAAACTTAACCACACTAAAAGCCTAAATTGGAAAACCAATTGCATCACCAGCAACACAAAGGGCAAAATTCTGAGCAGATAAAACAGAAACCACAAGAGACAGAACGTAAAGAAATCTACCTCACTTGCAGTCTCCCAGGTTTCACAATGCAGGAGCAGCCAAAAGGCATGCAGATCTGGGCAACAGAAAGATTACTCCTACCACAGCATGCAGCCAAAGTTTACTTAAATACTCTGAGAAAACGTTCCACTTTCGTTCCCAATTTGTGGGATGAGTCACTTTCAATGAAGCCGAAAGCATAATTGCAGATTACAAATGGACAGCCTTCCACTCACCCACATTCTTATACCCAAGTCAAAGGAACAATCAACAGAAAAGCCCAAACTCCATAAATCAAGATACAAATAGTTCTCTTCATGATAGCCCCTCTAAAGAGTGATTTTGGTAGATACACAACATAGTCAGGGATCAAGCACATAATGTCCACAGTAAAAAAGACTTAAAACCAACCAATAGAACATGAGAAAGCCTCAATTTGTCTGCATCGCTTCAGAATGATACTTCTCTAGATCAGCATCAAGATCTTCTGCAGAAACTTTTTCTCCACTGCTCTTTCCCCGTCCACAACCTCTTCCAAAGCCATGGCCTCCAGCACCACCACGTTGCCTGCCAAATCTTCCATCCCTGCCTTGGCTACTGTAAAATAACTATAACAAGGTTAGATTACTAAGTCAAGTCTATCAAGAACCAAAAGATGTTGAAGAATAAGAGAAAAGAAAGATATGGAACAGATGCCACACAGATTCACTAACATAAATATTGGTATGGTAGCAATTTGTTACAAGTTAACAAGCACATACAAATATGAGTTGTTGTATGTCCCATTAAGTAAAAACAACAGAATTACCAAGATCAAGTGATAAGTGATATCATATTTGTCTACATCACTTAAAAATAAATATATAATTTACTTGACTCCGCTAATATCTCAGGGAAAATATTTCAGGCAAGATGCTTGTTCAACAAAAACTAAAAATTCAAATAAATTGATGATTAAGGAGAATTTTCTACCAAGAATTAATCCTAAGATTAACATCTTATGGAGATATAATGCAGCTTTAGAAATTTTCAGTAACACAACCTAACTGAAACGTATAGGCAAAACTTGTAAGCACTCCATAAGTATAAAATAAGACATCAAGGTAACAAATACTAGAATATAAACTTTTGCAGAAAACAAGGTCATAAAAATATACAATAAGGCATACCCTCTAGGGGCTACATTTGAAATTCCAAAGCTGCCATTAGCATCTGAAGGTGCAGCAAGAGTAGCAACATTGGTTCCCACAATCTCGATTTTCATCGGCTTTCCATTGAGCTGAACGTTTTTGCATCTGTTGACTGCAGTCATAGCATCCGTTCGCAGAGAGAAGACAACTTCTGCTGTTCCCTAAGAGAAAAAGTCCTTTTGTTCTAAACTACTGCATGATACAAAGAATTTCATCGAAGGACCAGTTTATCCCAAAATACCTTCAATCTCCCACTCCTATCATAATGAACCAAAAATCGTTTCAGGTCACCAACCTCAGAAAATAACTCCTGTATAAATACACATAAACATTAGAAAAATAACTCTTCTTCACAATACTAATCTCAAATATAATGAATATTTGAACAATTTTCCAAAGAGCTAAGCCGGAGGAATCGCCACGAATATAAGCTTATGGAGAACAAAAGTTCAAATCAATATCAACGTTAAAACAATAACAGATCGAAACAGAAAAGAAAATCTTATATTAAAATTTAAATAAGAAAATAGCAAAAAACTTAGATAAAAGCCTTGATGTCATCGTTGGAAACACCAAAATCTAAATTAGAGACGTAAAGCTTCGTCCCGGTTTCGGTTGCGGAGGCCCGTCCTGCTAGTCCTTGGAACGCCGCTCCCTTATCCGAATATATATCGTGCTTCCACATCGACTCCGGCGCCGGAACCAAAAATACAACGGACTTAATTGATAACAGATTCGAATAAAAATAAATAAATAAATCTAATAATGAAAAACAAAAAAAATAAAAAATCAGATCTAAACTCCTAGAAACGCACCTTCGCTGTGGTATACGGTGCGGAGCGGTTTACGCCGCGATTAGGAAAGCGGCGAGCGGGTCCCGATCCGCATCCAAGGCCCCGACCATGGTAGTTTCAAGACTGGATTTACGGTTGCGCTTGATGAGATCGTCTAGCGACATCTCTAAAGCACTTGACATTTCTGTAAATCTTCTTTAGTAAAGAACAAAAGAAACAGAAAGAGAGAGAGAAAAAAAAAAGTACAGATTAGAGGAGTAGAGATAGGGTACCCGCAAAAGAAAAGAACTCAGAAAAGATTTGTATTAAAAAATGACACACACTTGAGTCTGTTTAACACGTGTATTTCACATGGTATATAGTCATTCTTCGAAAGACAATGACATTCAGGTGTCGTCGTGTCACGTCAGTGTCTGGTATTTGGACGAATCATACAATTGATCGTGATAAAATTAAAAATAATAATAAAATTTATTATAATTATAATTAAAAAAACATTTTTATAATTATGATTGAAAAAAATTAATAAAAAATTTATATTGATTTAATTTTATTAAAATTAATATTTAAATTTAATTAAAAATTAGATAAATTTAATTATATTGTATTGAAAATATAATAAATTTAAATGAAAACTAACATATTAAAAATATGTAATTCAAGTCGGTGACGTTAATCATATTTTTATTTCATTGAATCACTTTTTTTTTTTCGTTGAAGTTTCATATACGGAGAATAGAAGTAGGAAATTAGGAATATAATAGTAAATTTTCATCAAAATAAACTCTTTAAAATAATATATAATATATTATTCATTTATTTTTTTATTGAAATTTCATATACGGATAATAGAAATATCATATATGGGGAATAGAAAATTAGAAATATAGCAGCAAATTTTCATCAAAATAAACATTGTCTTTAAAATAATACATACCATATTATTTATTTATTCTATTAATGTAGTTAAATTATCAACATCTTTGATAGGAACATCACTCATATCTTTTGAGCAAAGACATTTACTCTATTAACAACACATATTGAGGCGAGTGACGATAGCTAGGAGAGATGGCAAGACGTTGATAGAGATCACTCATATCTTCTGAAATTTCATACACGAGGGAATAAGAAACTAGGAATATAGTAGCAAATCTCCATCAAAACCAACTTTGTCTTTCAAATAATAGATAATATATCATTTTCTTATTCTGGTGTTGTAGTTGAATTATCAATGTCTTTGATAGGAACGTCACTCATATCTTTTGAACGAGGACATTTACTCCAAATTCAGGCTCTATTAGCAAAGCATATTGAGGCGAGTGGCGATAGTTGGGAGATATGGTGAGACGAAAGTTTGACAGGATGATTGCGAACAACACCTGTAGTTCTGTCATTGCAAGGCTCTGGCCTGGACATACTCGAGCCCCTACACCAAATGGTATGTAGGCTTGAGAAGATCTGCATGCTTTAGAAATGCCATTAGCGAATCTCTCAGGGTTGAATTTTTCTGCATCAGGTCCCCAAAATTTAGGATCAAAGTGCAGTTCTAGCAACCATAGCCAAATATTAACCCCTTTTGGTATTTCAACGTGACCAAGCTTCACATTTTGCAAAGCTTGCCTTGAAACAAATGCCGTTGCAGGGTAAAGTCGCAGCACCTCTAGAACCACCATTCTTAACTGCACCAAGTGAATGGAATTTTGGGTTAGAAATGAGAACATCTCATGGTAATTGACAGACCCTATAATCTTGCTATTACATACCGCTTTCATCTTGTGAAGCATGTCGAAATTTAGGATTCCACCGTTACACACTTCTAAAACCTCAGTACGTATACGAGTTTGCCATTCAGGATGTGAAGCTAATAACATTAGACCCCATGTTGCAGAAACAGCAGTAACTTCAGAGGCAGGGATGCAGATGTCCTTGCAATTGTCCACTATGAACTCTTCAGCTGTGGATGGCCCAAGAACACCATTTTTGGAACCTTCGATGATCACTTGCAACAAGTCTTTAGAAGCAGACTCGGCGTGCTTCTTTACTATGTCCATAATTGTTGAATGAATCTCCTTCTCAAGCCTCCAAATCTCTCTATTCGTTTTAGTGGGAAAGTATCTAATATGTGGGAAAAAAAACCAGAACCGGTTTGAGCATGAAAAGAGATGTTTGTCCTCAAATTGCATATAGTAAACAGCAAAAACAAGCCAGGATGGAAAGCAGGAAGAGCATACCTGTAGAAAGGGATACCACTGAGTATCGTTGGTGTGCTCATGGCATTAATAAGAGCTAGAGATTTTGGAAATATTTCCATGCCCTTCTGCCATTCATCCCCGAACATCACATTTGAAATGATAAACGAGGTGAAGTGTCTCACATAATCATCAACTCTGATGTCTGCAATCCCACCATTAGCTTCAACTATGTTCTCCCATGATTTCACCAGTTCCCCGCCGGACTGCACCATTAGCTGTAGCATGTCCTGCATTCAGAAGTTTCATGGAATTTCGTCCAAAAAAAAAGGCATATGGAAGAGACTTCTTATCACAAACTAAGGGGATAAACGTTACCTTGACCTTGTCCACGAAAAGATGGGGCGCAATAGTCTTTCTCTGATAGGACCAGATTGCCCCATTCGTGGTGATAAGGCCCTTGCCTAGCAAAGCTCCTCGATCTTTTTGTAGATAAGCAGGTTTCCCCATATCCAACGACGTGAAACAGTTTATTTCTCTTACGAAATAAGCGTCAGCTACATACAAGAACTGTGACCTCCCAAGTGCAAACAAGAACGACTGACCTGTGCCAATCAATGCCAGAATCATGTTTAACAAGCACATAAACTAGGGAGGATTGAAGCAGCACTTTAAAACTGGATTACAAAGAGAACCTACTGCATTAAAAATATTAAGTATAGCAGTGGTAATAATAGGGGTATAGCAACAAAAACAATTACAGCAGAAGCTATTGAAATAAGAAAAAGATGAAAAGAACAATTGTGCTGAAAGAAGAATATGCAGACTATAGTTGAGAGATACCATATTGTTTAGTCCACTGCTTAAAATAAGGGAAGAGATTCATTAAACAATGCTGTGACAAGGGCTCCTTGATTGGTTCATTGGAGGACTGATTTGGAGCAGCGGGAAGCATCTGCTTCATTTGAGGAACGTTCCCCCAAAGGAAAGCAGGTAACGGACCATCAATCCCTTGCCTTCGAAGACTCAGTCGACGACTTTCTCCACTGAGCCAGAGAACATGAAAGAGATAGACAAGCAAGCTCCAAAACCCCAAGCCAGCAAAAATAATGGCAACATTGTAGAAATCCATCGGGCAGGCAGATTGGCCTTCCTATCAATGCTTGCAAGATATTTATATGCGTGACAACGTTCGCAGAGTTCAAATTCCATAAAAAAGGTGAAACATGTGTGGGGATGTTTTTATTAATTGCCATTGGTCATGAACTCAAAGTTTATATAATAATTAAAGAGTGTTTGGGAGAATATAAAAATTTTGATTTTTTATATTTTTTTTAATAAGTTACATCAATTTTATTTATTAAAAAAATTAATAAAAATATCTTTATCAATTGCCATGATTATTTGTCTTGATTTAATTGTTTATTTAAATTGAATTTGTATTTGATTCTTAAATGATTGAAGGTATTTTTTATTCTTAAATGAAAGTATATTTATGAATTGGATTAATTGGACTTGGAAAAACATAAATTTTTTTGGGTTCAAATAAACATCGATAATCAAAAGCTAACTATTTTAATTACAAGAAATCTTAATATAACTTACAAGAAATTCACCTGGACATTGGATTTTTTTCGAATCCCACATTAATAGTGTATCAGTTTTTTTTTTTTTAATTATATAAAGATTTTCTGGTATTTAAAAAATTTGTAAGAGAAATTGATTATAGAAAATAATTTTTATATTTTATATTTGATTTTAAAAATAATTTTCATTTTTATTTTTAATTTATAAAAAATATGGTTTTTAAAGGAAATTGAAAAACTATTTTAACAAAATGACAAAAATGGAATTATGAGTTTATTCATGGACCGTAAATCAATCGGATCACCATTATAATCATAAAAAATGTGTTTGATATATTTAGAAAATGGACAAAAATGAAATTATGAGTTCATTCATGCATCATAAATCAATTGAACCACCATTATAGCCATAAAAATGTTTTGTCCATTTATGCTAGTACAACTTGTACAATTTGTTGGAGAGAATGGCTTCAAGTCTTCTTCAGCTTAGTATCATATGGTGTTTGCTTTGATGTTTTTAGGCATTGTTTCAGCTTTAAGTTTCTCTCATATAGGGACAGCAATAGGTTGAAAAGGGATGGATTTTTGTTTCTCTCAATTTGGATTCGATAATTTTTTTATATTTTAATTTATTTTAATATTATATAAAATTATATTTGATTCGATTTAATTTAAAATTAATAAAATATTATTTTTTAAAATAAAAATATAATTTTTTATTATAAATATAAAATATATTACTTAAATAAATAATTAAATATTGTTATATATATACTAAATCAAATTGGGGTGAATTTACCTAAATTTTGACCTCAACTTTTTTTTTAAAATTATCCATTTGATTCAAAATTTAATTTAAAAAAATATAAAAATAATTTTAAAAAATTAAATTAAATCAAAACTCGTTAATAATGAATTGAACTATCATCCGTATTATCGTATGTTTAAAATAAGCAGACAGTAAAGGTCATATCATCTTTGTAATTAGATTGTTTGAATAAAGCTTATGGCTTTGATTAGGATCATACTTGAGGATCAATGGAATGTTATTCATCATAATTTCTTCCACTCCTCAGATGGACTGCTTAAAAGTACCATTCTTGTACAACCAATCAATTCCATTTGAACATAACATCCATTTTTGTTTTAAAAAATAATTTAATAAAAATTATTGTTAAACAATTTTACATTCGAATTAAACAAATCAAACACAAAAAAATAAAATTATCAAAAATATGCTCCGTGATCTTAAAAAAAGAAATCAAATTATCAAACGTAAACTTATTTTCGTAAACTAAACGTCTCCTTTACAGATTAATACTCTAATCTCGGAGTTCAACTCCGAATAGTAACGTTGCATGCAAGAAATGTGTATAACATAAATTAATAAGAGAAGCGTGTGGTGTTGAAAGCAATGACGTAAAGGAAAGCACCGGAAGTCATGGTTAAGGACTTTAAGAAATGTTGTTGGCATTTAAATTGATAGAAATTATAATTAATGGATGAAAGTAAAAGGCATTCTAGATGTTCATCCAATAAAAAAAAAAAAAGAAAAAACGACTTTCTTAACCTGCTAGGCATTTAATTTTTGGCATATATTTGGCAATATAAAATTCATTCTCTTCTCACGATGAATCTGATTAAATTAGAGAAACTCGATGATGATTATCAACAAATGAGATAAGATTATGAATTACCTGAGCTGGACGACATGGACCAACCAAAAAGAATCAAAGAAAATTGCGACAAGGAACCTTAGAATAAAAAATAATTATCCAAAATAATGTCAACAACATCATAACTCAGTTGGTAGGGTTGTTATTTTTTATATAAATATTTTTAAATTTAATTTCAACCGATACTTTTTTATTAAAATTATTTTAAATATATGATCTATAATAATTGTTATTTAAACTGTCGAGATATGATACGTATTACCTTGATACGAATAAATAAATAATCTATCTACAATTTTTTTTAATCCAAAAAAAGTTACCCAAAATAATTTGTAGGAAAAAAAAAAGGCATTTTCATTTCGAGGGTTCAGCCATTTCTAAAACCGTCAGTACCGTATATTTACATTCATCAAAACCAAATTAACCAGCAAACAGAAGAAGGGAAAAATCAATTACGACTACCGTAAAACCCTAACCCAAAAGTCCCATATTTCATCAAATTCCCAAATCCAACAAAATACAGGAACCCTAACTTTTCACACACCTATATTCAAGAGCTAGTAAACTTAGTCACCGCCTTTGTGCCTTCAGAGACTGCGTGTTTGGCAAGCTCTCCAGGGAGTACAAGTCTAACAGCAGTCTGGATTTCCCTGGAAGTAATCGTGGGCTTCTTGTTGTACCTTGCGAGTTTAGAAGCTTCTTGTGCAAGCTTCTCGAATATATCGTTTATGAAACTGTTCATGATTCCCATAGCCTTGCTTGAGATCCCGATATCTGGGTGGACTTGCTTAAGGACCTTAAAGATGTAGATCTTGTAAGTCTCGACGCCCTTCTTGGCTTTCTTCTTCTTCTTGTCTCCAGCCGCACCTTCCTTGGGAAGCTTCTTGCCGGCCTTTGGCTTCTTCTCCGCTGGCGCTTTCTCACCGACGGTGGTCTTTTTCTCCTCAGTTGGCTTCTCAGCTGGCTTCTTCTCGGCTGGCTTTTTCTCGGCTTTTGGCGCCATGTAGGGTGCTCTTCTTTTTGATCTCGGTAAACAAAGAAATCTGATTACTTTCTTGCGATCGGCGGTGAATTGGTAGATGGAAGAAGTTGGAGTTTGATATTTATAGCATGGAAAGGAAGAGTTTGATTGGAGGATTCGGGAAGATGCGGATCACTGATGTGGAGTTTTGTGACCGTTGGATTAGGAAAATGGATCGACGGCCTGGAAATATGCGTGGAGGTTGGTTTGCGTGAGAAGTAAAATGGGAGACGTGGCGAACAATTATTCGTAGAGATAATGCGGTTCCGTTTGATGAGTTAGGATTGGGCGCGAGTGGGATCGGTTCAGAATTTCGATTTTTCGAAACGTTTTTGGTTGCCCGCCAAACAGAAAATCTGTTTTTCCCTGCATGAACTGGGATATTGCATTTCAACTAAACAAACTGAAAATGTCTTCCTCTTGGAAATGACAAGTTCGCCCACTGCCAAATAGAAGACAGTATGACAAGTTCGGCATGTCACTTTATTTTTTTACAAAATATCGGCTTGGATTAAATTTTATTTAAAATTTTAAATATTATATTATAAATTTTTAAAGTTAAATTTGATTGAATTAAATTTTATTAGTTCATTTATCAATTTTTAAAATTTAATTTATTTTTATATATCATTTTAATATAAAATTTTAATATAAATTTATTATTTTTATTTTACAAAAATTTAAAGATATATAATTTAATTTATTTTTTATTTTTATTCGAATATAATATATAAATTCAATATTCAAACTTAACTATAATGAAATAAAAAAAAATTAATCCAAATCAAATGAAATATTATTATTTTTTAATCAATTTTAGATTTTTTTTATTTTTTCTTCACCCCTAATTATTCCGGCAATTGGCAAACATTCTAGTTCATGTTGCCATGAAGGAACAGTTTTAGATCTACTGCATACGCAATGACATCAAATAAAGCAGGCCACCATTTTATTCGAGCACCGCTCTGTTAGGTGTATCAACTCCTGAAGAAGATAAGACTTTTTTTAACGATTCGACTATAAGACATCGTCATATAACTTCCAAACATAAAAAATTATATAAATGGAAAGTTCTAAAGTTGTTCTAGACAAAAACTTTAACATAGAACTTGAACAACAAACCAATATCATAATTCAGTCAGGTCGATATCAACCCCCCCTCCCCAACACCCCATCCCAACAACCTATTAACATTTTCACTTAAAAAGCAAAAGCAGAAAGCATTTGAATATCACCATTCCTGCCTCTTTGAGACTCCCATTTAGCTGGCACGGCTTCTTATAACATCAAGTCCCATTTCAGTGGGATCAGTTGCCTGCAGCTCTACTTGAATACCATCCAACTCTCTCTTGAACCTGTCCTTGGAGCTTGCATAAATCATCTTGCTTCTCACCCTTGCTGTGTCAGGAGACCTTCATACAAACAACAAGAAACATAAACAGTTAAAATGTACAAAGCTTGGGAATAATACTAAAAACCACTAATAGTTTTATGCATATAATAATACCATGCAATGAAGAAAATCCTGCTTTTCTGGCAATTCTCAGCAGTCACAAAATCAAAATCATACACAGCATATCGACACTCATCAGCAGGGAGGCTTGCAGTGAAATCCTCGTAGCTCTGAGTTGGCTCACCAACCTTTTCCACAACAACCTGCTTTTGTTTCTCCTCAATCTTGAATACTATGAAGCGGTAAGTTCTTTTAGCCTTTAACTCTAGAAACTTCAGCTTGCAGTCATCGTGCACAGCCATTCCAGAAGCTGCGTTAGCCTGCAATAGAATGGTTCATAGAATACATAAGCTTTCTTACAATAATCCATTAGCTTTTCCTAAGCTTTTCTTTTTTCCCCCTTTGCAAGCATTCCCAAGAAATGAAATCATAAATAAGCTACTCAAAGAAATCACACGTTTTTGAGTTCTCCCCAATTACAAAAGAAGAGAAAGGCAGGTCAATAACTCAAAGCACTACTACCATTCTCACATTCCTCAAAATGACAGCCTAACTACCATAACCAACCAACAAAGCTAACGATCCAGGGCAACCACATTGATCCAATCCCACTTATTTTCCAGGGCTTTGACAATGAATCATAAATTTTAAATCACACAAAAATTCTTACACATTAACAGGCCTAAATATAATATTCCATTCTAAGAACATCAGCTAAATGCGGAACTCCGTGAGATGAATGCCAATGACTTTATTTTTCATAAAATCAAGCAACAACAACAATAATACAGGTAATTGAGAAGACATATCATGGGTCATCAATAGAACCGCTTCCGCAGTGATGCATGTCCGCTTGTGGGATAAAAAAATCTTAAGTATATTAAAGAGAATGAGTAAAATCTATGCACAATGGACAATGGAAGAATGATAAAAAAAATCCCATTTTGAAACAGAAAGCCAAGAAAGATATACAGATTAAGAAGCTGATACCATACAATCAACTGTTCATTAAACATTATAATGCTTATTAATATTTGTATTCAAACATAAATTTCCAAAGGAATCAAGAGGGCAGATCTATGGAGATTAACTAAATCATTTTATTTTTATCTATAATAAAAGTCTCACATTTGATTACAAATTTACAATCCAAAACTACAACACAGCAACAATAGATCAAAGCAAAGAATATTTATTGCTATCGTTAAAAAATTTTAAAAATTCAAACTAAGTTAATAAGAAGAAAACAAAGAGATCTATGTTCAAAATAAAAGAAAAATTAGATCCACATTAATAAAAAAAAAAAAGTAAAATTTCTACAGTAAGTCAAAGAAGCACAAATAAAAAAGCAACACTTGAACTGAAAAAGAAAAATTAAATAATAGAAAAAAAAGAATACGAACAACTCACCATGGCTTTTTTAGCAGAACTTGCAGAGAAAATCTACGGGAACAAAAATCTAAAAAGATGGAAAAGGAAATTGGGTTTTCACAAGGGAATTGAGATAATGATAAAAGGACTCCACCCTTTTTTAATTTTTTTTTTGTTTATTTTGAATATCATGAATCACGATAGGCCGTACGAGATAACGGGAAGAGAAAAGGTTGTCTGTTCAATTATAATGTGACACGTGGTTTAAAGGCTAAATGTCGGCTATGCCCCTAAGTCAGGTTGCTTTCGCGGTTGGTTTTGGAGTAGGACTCGAAACCAACTTGGATTCATGAGAGTGGCCCCCACACATGGCCGTAGCCCTTCAGGATCCAGCAAGTCATATGGGCCGGATATAAGCCCGTGACAAAACCAAGCCCAATATAGCTTTACGACGTTAGCATATGAATTTTTTTTGTTTAAATAATTGAGATTTATAACATGTTTTATATTGTAACTCAGTCATTGTACCATAATATCATGAGAATTTGGAAATTGTTTTATATATATATCATGAGAATTTGGAAATTGTTTTATATATATATCATGAGAATTTCTTTCTTTCGTATCAAACAAAGTGATAACGGAAACTCTACCTTTATTTGTAAAGTCCTAAGTTGAATTCAACTTACTTGTTGTTTAGTTGATGACAGCAATTCACTCCATTTGGTATGAAATATAGAAAAGATAAATGAATGAAAAAAAAAAATCTAATCCTTAAGTAAGATATATATATTATTTGGAAATTGTGAATAAAACAAAGTTCTTGATAATATTGAATATTAATTCTTCCCATGATAGAATAAACAAATTTTCTTGTTAATTATAGACATTGCATGATTTTATATTAATTATCTCGTTGATTAAAAAAGCCACTAATTAAGTTATTAGGATCACAATTATCTAATTTTGACTTGATCTAAATCTCAACACAGTTACTAGAATCAAAACTATTTTTGGTACGATCTTATTAATGCAAATCATAATATTTTTTTAAGAGATAAATTTTAAATTTTAATATTTATAATTTTTTTAATTTTTATATTGTGAATTTTTGTAAACAAAAATCCAAATTATTTACAATTATGGAGTAATATATTGATAAAATATCAACTCTTAATTTCAATTATAAAGATTTAATCATAACAAGGTCAAATGAAAATTAAAAAAAAAAACCGGAAATTTAGCCTCTGTACTTTATACGGGAGGCATTAACAAATAATGCCTTCTAAAATCCAGAAAATCAGAAGCGGGAAACCAAAAATATTTGTAAATGGCGGCCGAATTATTCGTCAATTGGAAAAAAATTTTTAAAAAATCTGAACTTGCTCTTCATTGGTTCATTCAAATTCACACGGATTGCACCCGAATAACTTCCAACCGTCGATAAGTTCCACATCTAACGGCAGTCATTGACCATTCGCCCCGCTCCACCTCTTCCAAAACCACCGCTATAAAATACTCGAACCTCGCATTGTCGGTACATAATCTTTCGTGAATTCCAATCCACAGCGTCTAATTTCAAAGCTGAGAGTTTTATTTGTTGAAGCATCAGGGTTGGTTCGAAGCAAAATGGATGTTGGAGGAAAGGTAAAGAAGGGGGCTGGAGGAAGAAAAGGCGGTGGTCCAAAGAAGAAGCCTGTTTCAAGGTCCGTCAAAGCTGGACTGCAGTTCCCCGTCGGAAGGATCGGCCGTTACTTGAAAAAAGGAAGGTATTCGCAGAGGGTCGGAACCGGAGCTCCAGTTTATTTGGCTGCCGTTCTTGAGTACTTAGCTGCTGAGGTAACTGAGATTTAAATTAAATCATTGACTGAGTTATTATTATTGTCTTTTTATATTTCTTAATATGGGGAATTTGTATTTGAAGTCAGGTTCTGGAATTGGCTGGAAATGCAGCACGTGACAACAAGAAAAACAGGATTATCCCAAGGCACGTGTTACTCGCCGTGAGGAATGACGAAGAACTCGGGAAGCTTCTCGCCGGCGTCACCATCGCTCACGGTGGCGTCATACCGAACATCAACCCTATTCTTTTGCCGAAGAAGACTGATAAGGCTCCCAAGGAACCCAAATCTCCATCAAAGGCTACCAAGTCCCCGAAGAAGGCTTAGTTTGATTAAGAAACTTATATTATTAGGCTTTTGTTTTCCTTGTGATTTTGGGGTCTTTAGGATTTTGTTTGTCATTGTTGATGTGTAGGGGAAAAAAGTTTCAAGCAAAATTGAAGATTTTATTATTATTGTTAGAATCCCATTATCTTGTACGTGATTTTAATGGAAATGAAACTACTTGTTTCTGTTCTTGACATAACAATCTGCTTCAAGGAATATTTTCCTTTTAATAGTTTAGATCAAATTTAATTTAATTTTTTTTGGATATTATATAATATTATAAAATTAAAAAATTTAATTTTATTGATTTGGATTAGTTTATTAATTTTTTAAAATTAAATTTTTTTTATATATTATCTTACTATATAAAAAAATTTTGATATAAAATTAATATTTTTATTTTATAAAAATTAAAAAAATTATTGGTTTGGTTTTATTTTATTTTCATCTTTAAATTCAAAATCTAATTTAAACTTAATATATATATTTAATATTTAAATTTAATATAAATTAAATAAAAATAATTTAAACTGAATTGAATATTATATTTTTAAATCAATTTTTGGTTTTTTTATTTTTATTTTTTTACTCCTACCCTTTGGTCATAGAAGGGTTACACAATTAGCTTTAAACAATACCTTGTACACTCGAAATCAATTTTGATTTCAGCTGTTGTCAAACCATTTTATGGTTGAGTACTAATTGTTTGCTAGAGTTAGAATGTTTAATGTTTTTTGAAGGAAAATTCAGAACACAAGGGATTGCTGTATATGGGGAGCAATTTATCTGTTTGAATTGGGTTATTGTGATTGAGTTTGTCGTTAACAGCGCAAGCCATATTTTGCAGAGCTTAAATGCCTGATGCGTGATTTTTAACCAATCCATCATCGGGACAATCATACAATTGTTCTGATTTGACATACTTTTTACGTAGCTTGTGAGTCATGCTTGCAATGGCTTGAATTTGGGGCCAGTTGGACAATTTTTGTTTTTACATCCTTGTGATCTTAATGAATTGAGGGTAGGTGAGGTGGTGAAATTGTATAAAACAATTGTAAGATTTGTGTTGAAATTAAGTACAAGTTTTTAAGAAATAATATGAGAAGAAATGAGCATAGCTAATATGAAAATTTTTAAATGAATGTGTGATAAAATTAAAAAAATTAAAAAATGAAGAGATTTAAAAAAAATAAAACTAATTAAATTGAGAAAAAGATAAGAAAGTATCATTTGAAATGAGTTGAATATGTAAAACGTGGATTTATTTGTGCATCAATTAAAATAAATAAGCTTTTAAATTAAAAAAAAATTAAAATTTTTAAAGATAAATTACCAAAAATATAAATATAATGATTAAAAAAATAGATGAAAAAATTGTTGATAGAAATGAATTATGATATAATATAATTTTTTTATATATATTTTATGCAATTAATCTTAGAATATGAGATATAAAATTTAATTTGTTGTTATTATTGTTGTAATCTTGACGAAGATTTCGCTCATCTCATCATCTTCATCGTCGTCATCTTAGCAACTGTCGTTCCTATTTTTATTTTAGTGGCTAGGAAGCAGATGACTTTTGATGCGTCTCTTTTGATTATGTAACGTAGGTAGCTCTGCTTGGTTTAAGAGTTCGATTGGATTTTGAAGGGCAAAATGAGTAGATTGATGCAGCTACCTCTTGGGCCGATAAGTCAAGTTTTGCAGTTATAATTGAGATTTTTCAGTTGGTAGGGAATTGGGGGCATCGACATCTTAGGTCCCAAAGGAATGGGTTTTCAGTCATGGCATAATGATGCCCAAAACCTGAAAGAGGAAGCTAAACACGTGACAGAGTAGGCAAATAGCAGGTTAACAGCCGGTTCTTTCTTTTCCTGTTTCAGTAATATTTGACTGTTAACAATTGTTGGAATTGATTGAAATTTTTTTTTTTTTAAATTTGAGATAAATAAGTTGTTTAGTTTTTTAAATTAAGATAAAATATAAAATATCTAACAATTTAAAATAAGTGATTGTAAGTCGTGTATTTAAAATAACTTCAATAAATAGACATTAACAGGATTCGAACCAAACACTTTTTTGTCAAATAAGATAAGCCTTAATCAATTGAATTAATCACCTATTGGTGGATTAATTGAAATTTCATAAAAAATTGGATAAAAATGAGATTGATTATATATTATTTGATAGACAAAAAAATTTATAAGAGAAAAAATTTAAAATAAATGATTTTTGATGAATAAATTTGTATATTATAAATAAATAAAATCTCCATAAAATAAAAAATATATATAAAAAAGTTGAAAGATTTTATTTAGATAAATATCTCATAAAATTAGATGAGATTGAAAAAAATTTTATTATTGTATATGTTTGATTGAACTAAAAAAAAATTAGATAGTTCACATATATATATGTTGAACAACATGTATATATGTTTATTTTAATTAAAAATACTTCATAAAAATATAAAAGAATATGTTTGAAAAAATTCATGAGTATTGATTGTGAGAATTGATTGATATAATATATATATTTATAATTTTTTACAATTAATAAATTTTTTTTTATCTGTTGATATAAATTGATTAAACTAAAATACGTTAAATTATTAATTTTTATAATGATTGATTATTTAATTATACTTATGTTAGCTTAGATGTTTAATTGCTTAAGAGCATTTTTGTTTAACAATAGTATTATCTTAGCTGTGGCTATCCAAGTTCGAGGACTATCAGGAAGAAACACTATATCGACAACTCTAACCTATGTGTAATGTACATCGGCCAAATGAATGTTAAAAAATGACCATGTATGAGATTTTTCTTCAGGAAGATAATGACAATCACAATGCTGAATGTTGATACGGATTTTGCTCATTACTGCTGCAGCTATAGTCTATAAATACAGCTGAGTTCTCCAAGCATAGATTATTACCAGAGAGACCGTAAAAACTGTCAGTAAATGCCCAAGTTTTTGAAGCAAATCCTTGCATTATTGGACAATGAAAAATGCCATTTTCTTCAGCTGTCAGAATCAATCTCAGGGCTTCTATCATTTGCGAATTCAACAAACATCATCCTCGCGCGGACAAACTGTGCAGAATAACAAAAAAAAAAAAGAAAAAGACATCTTAAGACAGGGCATCTGATCAAGTACATCAGAAACAGGTTCAAGCAACCTTATTTATGACCGACTTAATGAATTCATGAAAAATTCCCTTCTGGGGCATCCTAGTGAATTCAATTTTTTTAAAATTTTTTTATTACGAAGAAAGTGCTGAAATCGCGTTTACTCTTATTAAAAGCACACTATTCGTAACAAATCCTAATGGGAAAACATACTTTAAAGCGGCATTAAGCAGAGTATTAATCATATTGATTAACATTCTTACAGTAAATCAGGTTCATTACCTAACAATCAGTGCCAAATCACAATTGCCAGACAGAACCAGATGCAAAAAAGTGCACAGTGAAGGAGAATAAGAGGATTACCCGGCCATTCATGGCTTTCATCGCCTTCTGTGCTTCAGACTCAGTTTCAAATGTAACAAAACCAAACCCTTTAGACCTTAGAGTTTTGGGGTCTCTGATTACCTTAGCTACACTCACCAAAAAAGAAAACAAAACCCAATTGAAGAACCGGCCAAATGATATGATTTTCAAAGAAAAGAGAAAGAAAGACGACAAATTGAGTGAAAAAATTCAGTACCATCTTTAACAACGCCAAATTGTGAAAATAAAGTTTTAAGTTCATGGCGGGTTGTGAAATATGACAACTCTGCAACGAAGAGTAAGAATCAATACCTCAAATATAAAATAAATCTGATAGAAGCTGAAAAGTGAGAGAGGGAAAGAGAGAAAGGAAATTAACTGTTAATGAAGAGCCGAGAGCCCAACCTCTTTGCCATCTAAGGAAGAAGGGAAATGCAGCCAAATAGGGCAAATGCTCGCTATTTATTGAGAGCCGAGTGAAACGACGCCGTCCAGCCTACCTTATATTATTATTATTATTTTTATTTTCGCATTTTAGATATGACAATTCTTGTGTCCGAATTAAAACTTTATCACTAAAAACTTTAGTACTTCGAATATAATTCTTTAATACGAATAAAAACTTTAGTACTAATTAAAAGAAGGAAGACAGAACAAATGTACCATTATGCATAAATTGCAGAAAAAATTGATAAATGAACAATTTTAGCTCAAGAAAATCGATGGAGTTTCAGAGAAGTACATGAAGAAGCTGACATTTTCTCCTGCATAAATGGTACCTGTGCTGGCAAAAACTGCTGTATATCAACTATGGAGTATCTTGTTTCAAGTTTAATATGTAGTGTCTCATAAAAAATTCTAAAGACAACAGCTACTCTGCTACTTTTCTCACATTCAGAGTAGTGACACTGAAAGCATCCAAAAAAATATTGAACTAATAGGCGAGTTAGAATGAGCAAGAGAACCAGCAAGAATTCTTTGCAGAAAGTGAATGTTTATGGATTTTGGCCAGAAATCTTCAGTTGAATTGCTGGCCATTCAGTTGTTCTCGATTTCCATCCCAATATAGCACTTCATTCTTGGCACCCAGAATGTTGACTCAATACCAATTCAAATGCCTTTTGTTTTGGAACGCAATTCATTGTTTGAAAGGGAAATGAAAACCCTGACAGATAGAGCAGAAACCCTTTATTACTCGGGTAGCTGTTCCAACTACAATCTGAAAATCAATTTGTACTTAGAAAGATGCAGTAAATAAAAAAATAAAAAAGATACTTCCTGATACCGTTGTTATTAATTCGTTATGATATGCAACTGAAACAAGTTCTTTCCAATGTTAAGGGCTTTGAATGTGGGTGGTGGACAGAACAAGAACTTGTTTCAGAGGGTGAATCTATCAGATTCGATCAACCATCAACTGTTATGAGCCCAGGTTTGCATCTAAGCAATGTATGTGCATTCTAAAATCAGATCTCTTATATTTATAAAATATAAGTTATTTAATTTGTACATAATTTAATTACTACATTTTTGTGCATTATTAACATAATTTGTTATTAGGATCAATAGTTTAAATTTGAAATTAAAGGACGATACTAATAGAAAGTTAAACATATAAATTTTATGAGACAAAAATAATAAAAATATTAATTAAAAAATAAAAAAAAACTTATTTTTCCTTTTTATATAT